CTTCACCCACTCAGTTTTGGATCACAGACCCACAAGAAGTATTAAAAAAGTCTACACCATTCGGCTAGAGCAGATTTCAGGGTGTTCTTGATAACAATACCAAGAACCAATGAAAACAGTCACTTCAGTATAGGTTCCTGATCAGTTCGATTAGTTCTGAGAAACAGTCCACAGACGAATGGGAGAGAAGAGGAAAAAACAACTACCGACCTCAATAGAACTCAGTCAATCATCTGTCGAACTTGTTTTCTTTTCCGTTTCTGTTAAAAAAAAAGAGAGAACAGGGTCCACCAACGAATCTCAATGCAGGGTCGAACTTGTTTTCTCCATTTTCAGTCCATATATGTGTTTTGCAAAACCTTCGATAAGATGCCTCTTACAGAGCGATGTCCTGCTCTGATACCATGATCTCGATCAAGAGGAGAGAGGAGAAGAAGAAGAAGAAGAAGAAAGAGAGGAGAGAGAGAAGAGGCGAGAAGAGTTTTGACCAAAAAACTCAAACTGGTGGCGCCAGTAATTTTGTATTTATATGATAGGGCGACAATATAAAAATAGAAGATAAAAAGACAAGAGTGCCCCTGTGGCACATAACTATAGAGTTGCATCACCCTGTTAAGGAAATCTGGTGTTGTCCCATCCCCCTTAAAGTCAGCGCTTTTTGTTGGGAAGTGTTTCATGGTTGCATTAATACTTGTGATAAGCTTCAAAGGAAGAGGCCAAACTGTTACTTGTCCCCCAATTGGTGCCAGCTTAATGGTGGGACTGCAATTCATCTCTTAATCTTCTGTCCTTTTGTTTTTGTCTGAGAATGGTTTGCTTCACTTTTTGGTTGCAGGCGGCTCTCTCCTGTTAGCTTGGGAAGGTTGTTTAGGCCTTCTGTCTGTAGTTGCTCTACTAAAAGGGGCAGACTGATGTGGAAATGCACAAGGGCAGCAGTGATTTGGACAGTCTGGGAGGAAAGAAACTCTAGAATTTTTGGGGAAAAGGAATAAGGAAGCATTGGTTCAGGTCATAACCCTAAGAGTGGCACATTGGGTTAAGACCTTGAATCTGTTCTCAGACTTTAAGATTGATGATTTCTTCAGAACTTGGGGGGCTATAGCTGCCTCATCCTCTGGAAGACAGATTGCAGCAGTGGTCTGGTTTCCCCCGCCTTGTGGCTGGTTGAAACTGAATTTTGATGGGAGTACTGTGGGCAATCCAGGCCCCTCTGGAATTGGAGGGGTTATCAGGGATGAGGAAAGGAAATATATGTGCTTTCTTGTTGGGTCCAGCTGGGCAAAGTTATGTGGCAACAACAGAATTCTTAGCCAGCTGTTTTTGGGTTTGAGAAAGCTAAGGAAATGGGTTTCGAAAGGCTAATTATTGAAAGTGATTCCAAAACAGTTGTGGACTGGTTAAAGAAGGGGGAAGGAGTTTCATAGCACCTAAGGGATGATCTTAGGAGGTTCAAATGGCTCTCTAGGGACATGTTTATTCAAGTTAATTGGGTTAGAAGATCGACCAACAGTTTGGCGGATAGTTTAGCTAAGCAAGGGGTACAAAGACAGTCTATGTTTTGGGCTCAATTGTAATAATTGAGGGTTTTAGACATTCGGTGTTTAATTGTATCCTTCACAACTTGTTGTGCTGTCTTAATTAGCTTAATGAAATCTTTTTTCTGAGATAGACAAAAAAAGCACTAATGGAACAAGGAAGACTGCTGAACTTCACATACACTGGCAACACAACCCCAAAACTTTAAGCCCTAGTCATCAAAAACCCACAAAGACACATGTGGCAATGATGAACAGTACATACCTGATGGAGAAAGGATCCTACAATCCACTATAGCATAGGAGAGAAGGCACAAGCCTCTAGAGACACCTTCACAGCATTTGGCTGTCAACAAATAATACTTTTCTTGGCACTACAACCAAGAAAGGAAAGAAAGAAGAGAAAACAAGTGTTCAGGTTAGGCAGATATAGTGTTTTTCTCTTCTATGTCCAAAAAGGCAGGTTCTAGGAAGAAAAACTTGGTCTGAATGCTTCTACTACCCAGAAACATGCTCTGAGACCATACCATTCAAGAGAAAGAAGAAAGAGAGGGGAGATGAAGAAGAAGACGAGAAACAAGTCAAATTACAGTAGTGCTCTTGCGTCACAATCTACTAGAAAATACGACAGCCTTGTTGGGGCAGGGCCTTGTAATAAATTCAATATAATGTGCAAGAGGAAGAAGGTGAAAGTTAAATCTAGACGTAACAAAAGAATGTTGCAAGACTCTTCGCCTAAGAAGGATCAAGAATACTTGAAGGTGGGGGACATTGTTCTGTCTGATGAGCAGTTAAAGGAATTAGATTTAGAAATTGTTAGGAAAGACTAGGATAAGAAAGAAGAAGGTTTGGAGGTGCTAGAAAGTGATGATGATCAGATTTTTGAGTGAGATTTGTTGAGAAGAAAATTGAGCTGGAATTGTTGAAAAAGAGGTCCAAGTAACTATAATTTTGGGTCTTTTCTTTTTATGTGGGGAAGAATTTGCAAGGCAAATTTTTTGTTAAAAATGCAAGAGGTAAGGATGACACGGTTTGTTCATTTCAGATTTTAAGGAGGAGGTGAATGGAAATATTTGTTTCTATTTGGGGAGAAAAGGGGGTTTGTTTTGAGGTTAAGGGCTTTAATTGGTTGGTAGGCTGGGTATTGGAAAAATTGTTTTAGAATTGGGGTGATTTGTTTTGTCGTGCTTTTGGCAGGGGTGGTTTCGTTTTGCTTGCGGGTGGTCCTCATTAGTTCATTTGGGTGGTGTTCAGCAAGGTTAAAATGTTGGTGTTGGTGGAAATATCAGTCATTGAAATATAGGAAACATATCAGAAATGTCATATAAAATAATGTAAAATCTACAGACATGGTGGAAACATTGTGAAACATGTGAAAATATAGGTTGGTATTTTATGAAATGATAAAAGAAGCATAGGTACACCCTTTGAAATTATTATTTTGTTCCAAACCATCAAACAGAGACAAAATAATTGTGGAGATGTACAAGGGCAAGTGGTGACTTGGACAGTTTGGGAAGAAAGGAATACAAGAATTTTTTTGGGAGGAGAAGAGTAAAGAGATAGATATCGAGATCATAACCCTAAGAGTTGCACATTGTGTGAACACATTGAAACTTTTCTCAGACTTTACGGTGGAGGATTTCTTCAGGAACTGGGGGACAATAACTGGCTCTTCCTTTGGATACCCCCAATTGGTGGTCGGATGAAATTGAACTTTGATGGAAGCATTTTGGGCTAGGTGATAAGGGATGAGGGTTGTAATATATGTGCTATGTTTTCAGGTCCCATACAGCAAGGTGATTCAGTAAGGGTGAACTTTTGGCAGCAGTTTTTGGGGTATAGAAAGCTAAAGAAATGGGAATTGTAATATTGGTTATTGAATGGGACTTGAATATAGTAGTAGGTGGCTGAAAAAAGGTGAGGGGGTGGTTCAGCAATTTAAAAATGAAATTAGATGCTTCAAGTGGTTCTGAAAAGACACAAACATTCAAATAAGATGGGTTAGGAGATCTGCAACTAGCTTGGCGGATGGTTTGGCTAAGCAAGGAGTTCACAAACAACAAATGTATTGGGCACAATTGTAATAGAGTGGTGGGTGTGCATGTTTTTTATTGGGCTGTTTCAGACTTTCACAACTTCTTGTTGTAATCTTTTTATTTCAAGAAATTAATGAATGAATGATTTTCTGCATTGCTGATAAAAAAAGAAAAATAAACATATACAAAATAATATGTTGTGAAGTTGTCTTGTAAACCACATCATAGAGTGAGTTGAAGCAAAATTTAAACTCATAAAAATGCAAATGATTCTAATAGATTGATTAAATAATATATTACATAAATAGAAACTAAGATTTAACTTATTTATCAAAAAAAACTAAGATAACTGCAAAATTTAAACTCATACAATATGCTTTCCACCATTTCTTTTACTCCCCCATTGTGTCAGTAGTTTTCACTGGGGAATATGCTGATTCTAATAACCTTTTTTGTTGGTACCCATGGAAATGGAATATGCCGATTCCTTTATTTTATTTTTTGCGAGGTAAATTTCTAATCACCTGTCATTGTGTGTTTCTTTACTGGTGGCTTTAATAAATTTTCTTTTTTATTTATCTTCAATAAAAAAAACTAGATAAGGAATGGTGTTTGATTTGTTTGTAATGCATGTGCTTATTTTTCTCAGATGATGCTGAGAAAAGAGTCAATATTTATCCACAACCGTTCCTGAAGATACTTCCTATACCTGATCCACTTAGGTTTTACATGCTGCACCCATCAAAGTTTAGCTTGATAAAATTAGGGGCTGGAGGGGATCGGTCAGTATGTGAATGAGATGAATTGCAATACACTTCCATCCTGTAATTATGTTATCAGTTGAGAATGGGCAAAACTGTACACCAAAATTTTCCATTGAGCTACCTTTATTAATGTTTTCAAAAAATAACAGCCTCCCTTGTTTCTTCCTTTTCCTTCCATATTCTTGAAATCATCTCTTCCTACAAAAATTCCTTTTGTATTGGTAATGACAATGGAGTATTTCCTTCTTCACTAGTTCCTCCATGCTTTCCTTCCTGGCAAATTTTTCATCCATTTTTTCTCCTCTTTATCTATAAATTAGATGCATTTGAAGTTATCAGGAGATCAAATAGTGCTTTTGACTCCTCTCTCCATATAGAGGTTGTGCACTAAGAGTTTGTCTTACTTTAATAGAATACTTGTGCTGCTATCCTGAACTGCTGATCTAAATGGGTTTCAAATATTGTCCAAACTCCAAAGTAGGGAAGGAAATGGCATTCTTGTTTGCTCAAGTAGGAAAACATGATATTATTTTCCTCTATATAACCATTTCAAAAAATCCAGTAATAATAGGTGCTTTAAACTTTCAAAATCTTTATTTTCATTTGTTGTCTTTCTTGCTTGTTGTCTTGCTTATCCTACTACATCTACTTATGTTTGACAGGATAGTGATGAGCTTACTGGTCTACACTGCTTTCGTCACCTTCGGGATCAGCTGGCAACATCCATAGAGTCCATAAACAGGTGCCTACTGAGTTATGATTGAATGGTTTTTGCTAAAGTGTTTATGCGTGGTTGCAGTGGAAGCTTGTGCCTGTTATCTACATTTACCATTTGGTATCTTTTGACCACCTACTATTTAATGTTGGATAAAGTACAGTTGAAAGATAATGTAGAAAGCTGACAAACAGTTAGGACTGCAACTTGGGTGGGCCTAATCTGAGCCTGGTCTTGCCCAACTCAAGCTTTTTTAGGGCCTTGGTTTAAGTTTTAGGGCTTCAGCGAAAGTAGGGTCTATTAATTCAAGCCTGGTCTAGTTTATTCAACCCAAATGTGGCTTCGCTTCATTGATATTACATGCTAAAAGTATGATGTAACATACAGATGTGGTTTCAGAAAAAGTATTTTTTTTCTAAAAACCTATGTAAGAGGATTTGAACCCTAAACCTGATGTCTATGGAACAACCTTTCAATCATTTGGTCACATCCAATCCAATTCATTTTTAACAGTACAAAACAAATGTGCAGGTCCAACATGCCTTCCCAACCCAAGCTTATAAGTGTTAGAGTTTTGGTTGGGCTGGGCTTGACCTGATGTTTGGCCCAAGCTTTCACCTTTAGGCTTGGGGATGAGTTGGTGCTAAACCTTGCTTCAGTCTGCTCAAGTTGCAGTCATACCAATAGTACATTGCCTAGTGCAGTTGATTTTGTACATCAGGAGCATCCACTATGGTGTGTTAAACATGGTCAATTAGAAGGATATCAATACAAATGGAAGTAATCAGTTCAATAATCTTTTGGCAATTTTGACATCTACATTACAGAAATTAAAACAGCTGTTTAGAATGCATCAATAATAGGAATTCATGTAAATTTTAATATATCCTCCAAAACATGAAAAGATAACCTCTGAACAGTGTAGTGTAGAGTACTGAGCACTCATTTAACCCATCAAAGTAGTAGAAGATGTAAATTTTTACAGACTTAGAAAACAATAATTCTTTTTTAGGGAAATTGTCTAAAACTCACTACAGCATTTCTCTTAAACTCACCACAACTTTTCAAAACGTCCAGGGATACCCATGTCAGTAAATTGACATTAAACAGACTAACAGGTATTAGTAGATTACCATTTTACCCTTTGTTATATTCGATCCATTTTTCAATATTCCAGAAAATATCCCTGTTATTATTCAACCCAAAACCCGTTTTTCAGCTTCATTGGAATACTTTCAAGAAGCACAATGAGAGCAAAATGTCTCTCAACAAGAAGAAATCTTATGTATAAGTAAGGAAGTTGGGTACTTGAGGGCATTTTAGTCATAAAAATATATTTAATAAGGCTGACTTTCCATTCAGGGGTAGTTTGGTCATGAAAATTGTATTTATGCTGTCATGGACTTCTTCTGTCAGTGTACACTAACGTTGCTCTAGCGGATGGTGAGTTTTGGAAAATAAAAACTCACTGAGATGTGGTTCCCTGGACGTTTTGAAAAGTTATGGCGAGTTTAAGAGAAAAGCTGAAAAGTCATGGTGATTTTTTAGACAATTTCCCTTATTTTAAAAAATAAAAGATGTGTTTGTTACAAAAAAGAAAAATCTTTCCTATGTTTTAGACAAAGCATATTTTGATGGGTAACCAACAAAAGATTTCATCAGTGTATATTTTTATTGGTAAAATGAATGAAAATTTTGCTAAAAAGGATGAAAAGAAAAGGGCCTGAGAGCTACTCTAAGATTTCCTTACTGTATGACTTGGAGATTTTCATAGGGACAATAGCACACCTTGGAGTTCTCTACAATATAACAGGGCTATAAATGAACATTTGAAAAAGAAGAAAGGTCAAGAGTTCTAATGCCTCGAAAACATTTATTGTATAATTTTGCTTATGACAGTACAAAGTAAGAAGCCAAGTAAAAACAAAGTTCTTTTGTTATACCTTGCAAAATCAACCTATACAAAATCCTTAGAAGTCAATGTCTTATTTCATTAAATGTATGCCAGCACCAGCATGTAACTGACATGAAGGATGTTTGTGCACTTTTGGAAATTCGTTTTCTTCTTTCAAATGCTCTAGCAAGTTGTAAGGATACCATCATTCAAATGATGGAGTCCAAGGAATCCAAGGAGATCTGAGGGAAGGAACTAAGAATCCCACTGATCTAAAGGAGATTAAAAAGATACATATGAAGGGAGAACTAAAGAGAAAATTTGAGCAATGTAGATCTTTCAGAGTTCAGGTATGTTTAGATTGGTTAATCAGTCATGGAGGAGAGAAGAGAACTTGAGTATCTCAGGGTCCTGACAGGTGACTTCACTTCTCTTTAAGCCAGGGTTGATGGAAGAATACTTGTGATACAACTGTAGGAATGTATAAGTGCAGTTTGTAATTGTTTTATTTACTTTTTTGAAGGTAACCATGGGTAGTTTTTTTTTTTTTTTTTGATGAATGAAGATAATTTATTAATCCAGAAATTAAGGCAATACAGGAAACCCATGAAGAGGCACGAGCTGTTACCTCTTCTAACAAAGTATTACATCAAATTACAACAGGAATAAACAGAAATAAAATTACATAGCAGCCCAAAATAAATGTTCCCTTGAACTCCCTTGCTTAGCTAGGCCATCTGCTAAGGTATTTGCTGATCTTCCCACCCAAAGAGAGGTAACTGTCATATTTCTTGTGAGCCAGTTGACTTTCCTCAATAAGTCTCTGTATCACCACATAGCTGAAGCTGACTCTGTCAGCCATCCTACAACAATTTTGGAGTCTCCTTCAACTACCAAATGTTGAACTCCTAATTGTTCTGCAATCTGAATACCTTGTACAGCCGCTAAAATCTCAGCTCTATTAGAGTCTCCTATTCCCACAGGGCCTGAAAACAAGGCTAAAATGTTGCTCTCCTTATCTGTCAGCACCCCTCCTATCCCCGATGGGCCTGGGTTTCCTTGGCTACTACCATCGAAGTTCAGCTTTGCCCAATCTTCAGGCGGAGGCTTCCACACTGCAGATTCCTTGTCCTTCCTCGTATGGCTATTGGCCACCGCTTTCCAGTTTCTCCAAATATCATCAAAGGAAAATGTATGAAAGAAGTCCATAGTTCTTAAGCCAATGAATTGCCCTAGTCAAGATACAATCCTCAATGACCTGAATACTTCTTTCCTTTCTTTGAACACCCTTGCATTCCTATCTTCCCAGATTGTCCACAAGGCGGCTGCTCTAATACATTTCCACATCATTTTTCCTTTTTTTGTAGGCCACACAAAAAAAGAAGGATCAAATAGCTGACTTGATTCTGTGGACAGATTCCACCTGCACTCAAACAAAGATAAAATCCAAGTCCAAATAGCACTAGAAAAGGAACAAGATACAAGTAGGTGGGAGCAATCCTCACCACTAGCCCTGCAAAGTACACACCAGTTAGGGGACAAACACATGAAAGGCCTTTTCTTCTGCAAGCAGTCTAAAGTATTAATCTTTCTATAAAACACCTCTCAGCAAAAAATAACAATTTTAGGAGGAACAGGTCTAAACCAAATCTCCTTAGTCGGAAAACCCAACTCCATGGAAGAGCAAAGGGACTTAAAAAAGGAAGCACAAGTGAAAAAACCTTTTGGATGAGGGGACCATAATCTCACATCCGAACTAAGAGGGTCCAGAAAAACACTACCAAGAAGGGACAACAAGTCTGAAGCACTACTAAGTTCATCTTCCCTCAAACCTCTCCAAAAGCCAAAGTCCCAACTTAAGGATGAGGGTGAAGTAAGAGATGGGAGAAAATGAGAGATAGCTTTTTCCTTGTAAAGGAAAAGAGAATAGAGAGCCGGGAACCTGTCCTTGTAAAGGGAAAGAGAATAGAGAACCGGTAACCATAGGTAGTTTTTTCTGATAGGCATTTTAACTATGAGCAGTTAGGGCTATCGAGTAAAGTGGGAAACAGGGTAGAGTTAGACTTCAGTCTTTGAGGTTCTAATCTAAGGGTGATAATAGTGGAAATTGATATGTTGAAAGCTATGATACCGAGATTCCTATGCAAGGGTGCTGTATTATGTCGGATACTTAAGTTTTTAATGTAAATTTTGTATCTGATACTCATCCAGCCATGTCCTTGCTTATCCAGGTAACATAGGTTGAAGGGGCTGAATTTATGGAAGTACCAAGTTCTGTTACCTAAACATTCCTTTAAGGGGGATGCTGATAGTGCTAAGGGGTGGGTGGAGTGTTGAACTATTCCAATCTAGAGAACTCAAAGTTTAAGTTATTTACTTGTATTTGCACTAAATGCTTCTGATTGTCAATACTAGTTTTACTGTGACTTTCATTTTGTTTTTCTTGGTCTCGTTAAGGTTTTTATTTGTCTGTTCATTCATAAAAAAAAAGGTTTTTATTTGTCTGTTGTTTTTTATCTCATGAGCTGCTTTCTATTATTGTTATAATTTTTTTTGAAGATAAATCAAAATATTTATTAATGATAAAAAGATACAAGTGTCTTGGGTGACAAGATGTCACCACCCAACAATTCAAAAGAGAAACTACAATATAACCATACTAAAACAGACCAAACTCAAAACCCATACAAAATTACACCAATAAAGTAGACCAGAAATTCAAACCAAAATCTTCTGTTTTGCTGCCTACAATTCCTGGACTATTCTTTAGCACCTGGTGCTGGCTTTGTTTCTTTTCAAGTACTTGTAGCATCATGTGGTTATACTAGCAGCATCTAGAGCTTATAAAATTTAGCCGTTTGTTTCTCATATTCAGTTTTTCTATCTATTTCTTCACCTTGGGCAGTTTATTGATACATCTTTTGCTCTCTGTCTCTCTCTTCCTACTTTTTTTGTTGGTCTTGTGAGTTGTGGCATCATGACATGTTGGGCCAGTTTTTCTGTTTTAGCTATTGTTGTTTGCACATTATGTGGTTTCTTTTATCATGTATACACTTTAACCCTTACATCTTAGTGTAAAATACTGAGATGCATGAACTGTATATATGTAGCTTGTAACTTGTGAAGTTCATTCTTGTAGCATTCTTTCAGCAGAGTTCATGCGTGCATCTGTACATGATGCAAAAGATGTGGATTTGGTAATTTTATCAAAGGTGAAAGAAAGAGTTGTCAATTTCAATAATGGGAAAGATGATGAAGTAAGCATCCTTCTTGTTATGTTTTTTCTGCTTTTGAACTGAATGCTCTTGGTTTTATTTTTATCTTGCAGCCCTTTTTATATGTAATACAAGTTGTTGATTCACCTTATGTCAGTATGGTCATATGGTGTTCAATAATCCTTTTCCCCCTTCAAGTAGGCATTACACTAGAACTATTGACCTTATGCTCTTATTTATCTGAAGGCAATTCTTTCTTCTGATACAAGAGAGTTTCAGAAGCTTGCTTTATTACTTTATATGTGAATATCTATTTGTTAAATGACGAATATCTATAAAAAAAAACAGAAGTAATGAAAACAAATTAAACTATTCGGATAAATCTTTCTCTTGAAGCAGTTTCTCTGCAATATAATGAAAATCTAATGAAAAAAGAACCATTACTAATTGATGGTCCAGGCCGTCCAGGGTCGTGGGAGGGTTGGAGGGCTAGACTGGATAAATACCTAACTTTATTGAAATTTGATCAAGAGCAGGAAGAGACATAACCTTATAGACAGGGAGGGAGGGAGAGAGACCCTTAAGCTGAGAATAGATATTCTATTATGCCCAGATTACATGGTACTTAATGAAATCTTGCCCTTGACAGCCCCTACGTAAACACATCTGCCAACTGTCTTCCAAATGGTGTGACAAGAAACAATTCTTTCCCTTACAAAAATGTTTGTCAATCTCAACCTGCTCAGTCCTGTCATGTTGGACTAGAATGTTAGCACTTAGCAATCTAATTGTCATAGTATAACCTGAGAGGGGCAATGACCTTGACTCCCAACTCCTTTAGCAAGATACAAAGTCACTGCAATTCAATCCCCCATGTGCCATAACCAAAGTCTAAAATGTTGGTGTTGATGGAGATAGTGGTCATCCAAATATAGGAAATCTGTATTACCAGACAAAAATATGGGAATTGGGAAGCATGGCGAAAATATCAGAAATGTCTATTGTAAACATTGTAGACATGATGGAAACATATTGAAATATGCAAAAAAATATAGATTTCTATTTTGTGTAATGATAAATGGTGCATGGATACCATTTTAAATTGTTATCTTGTTCTGGATCATCAAAATTACATGATAGAGCGAGTTCAAGCATAAATTCAATGTCATAGAAATTGCAAGAGCAGCTTTGATCTGGACAGTTTGGGAAGAAAGGAATACCTGGAAAGGAATGAATCAAAAGGAAGAGTAGAGACAAAGAATAATAGGCAGGAGAAAAATGAGAATAAGAAATAAGCATAACAATGAGGTGAATAATACATGAAATAACATGTTTACTTATTGTAATAGGGAGGTCTAAATCAAAATAGGGAATCAAAGAATTAGAGTTTTGATTACCTCAACTAGACTGATGAAGTGCTCAACTGGTCACAATGTTTAGCTAGAGGACCCTTATTCTTCCTTCTGTGATAGACCAGCAACTCATTTGTGCCAACAACATCTCTAGTTGGAGCTGACAATAGGATAATTGCTAGAGCTATGTGGATCACTAGAAAAAAAGCAAAAGATCATGAGATATGGAGCATGACAAAGGATCAAAGGGAACGGCATCTTCAGGAAAAGTGTTTAAAGTGCAAATTATTCAGCAACATTTTTTTATCAAGCTTGATTGATTTTCTCTCCAAAGTGTTTCTTAATCATTTTATGAAAACCATAGTAATTCTTGGACCAATAACATACTTTCTAGGCTTGGAAGTGCATCACAATTCCAGTGGCTACTTTCTTAATCAACAGAAATATGCCACTGACTTAGTCAAGCTTGCTCATCTTACTGATACTAAGACAGTTGATACACCATTGGAACTTAATCTCAATTTGAGTAAGGATGACTGACAGTTTACTCTTAGAGGATGCTACTCTCTATTGTCAACTTGTGGGGAGTCTTATTTACCTCACAATGACACACCCAGACATCTTATGCTGTCTAGATAGTTAGCTAGTTTGTTTTGTGCCCTTGCCAATCTCATATGATAGCTGTACATCGTATTATTTGTTATGTTAGGGGGACTGCTTCTTATGGCGTGTTCTTTCCTTCCTCCTTGTCTCTTCAGTTATCAGCCTATGCTGATACCAATGGGGCTGATTGTCTAGATACTAGATGGTCCACTACAGGATGGTGCATCTTTTTGGGTGGGTCTCTTATCTCCTGGAAATGTAAGAAGCAGCAAATAGTTTCTAAGTCATCCACAGAAGCAGAATATCAAGCCATGTCTTCAGCATGCAGTGAAATCATTTGGCTCCAGTCTCTTCTATGTGATCTCAATCTTGATCAGTCTTCTCTAGTGCCCCTATTTGTTGATAATCTTAGTGCAATCAAGATTGCTTCCAATCCTGTTTTCCATTTAAGAACGAAGCACATTGAAGTGGATTGTCACTTTATCAGGGATCTCACTTTTTGCCGCATCTCACTTACTCATGTATCTTCCAACCTTCAATTGGAGGACGTCCTCACCAAAGCTATGACTAGATCCAGATATTCCTTTCTCATGAGAAAACTGATGTTAATATCTACATCAGTTTGAGGAGTGTAGAGACAGGGACAATGAGGGTTAATATTGTAAATTTTCTTCTTGTACATATTTCTTCATTCTTTTGCTGTGTATTATACTTCTTGTATTCTAGGGGTAGATTTGTCCTTTTACTTTTCATTCATATAAATACCCTTTTCTTGGTGTGGTCGACTCACTTAGACACACCACAAATCTGTTCAACTTCTATATTTTGAACTTCACTGACAGAACCGAACCAGTACCACTGGTTTTTGGAAAGCAATACCAAAACTGACCTAAAACCAACCGGTTAACCGATCGACCGGTTCGGTTCTTCTTTTGAATTTATAATATATGATATAAATAAGTATATAATTATATAATATAAATACTAGAAATATATGTAATATATATATATATATATATTACATATACTAGTCAATTCGGTTAACTGGACTTTTTTGTTTTGGTTTCATTGGTTCAGTTCAGTTTTTCAGTTTTTGATTATCACCCCTGTTTTGTATGGGTGACAAATATTGGATAGAGCTCTTGCATAGATTCATGAATCAGATTGGGAGGACTAGGCATCATATGCAAACTGGACATGAAAAAGGCATATGACCATGTCAAATGGAGCTTCCTAGACTACCTACTTAGAATAATGGAATTTGGTATAAAATGGAGAGAGTGGATAAAAGCCTGTCTAGTAACAGACTGTTTCTCAATCCTTATAAACAGAGTACTGAAAGCTTACTTGGAAGGATAAAGTGGACTTTGCCATAATGATCTCCTATCTCATTGATATTTATTATTGTGGTGGAGATTTTAAGTAACTAATTAGAAGAGCAGAAGAGGGAGGTTAAGTTGAAGACTTCAAATTCAATTCAGGCAGCCCAACCATTGCAGTTGGCAGACAATTCCATCCTGTTTGGCAGGGCTAAGCAATCAAATGTGATGATGTGGTGTCTACTCATTTTTTGAAGCAGTCTTAGGGCTGAAAACTAATACTTTAAAAAAAAACAAACTAATTCTGATAGGGGAGGACCAGGAGGTGCCACATATTGGTGAATTGGCAACAACTCTGAAGTGCATGTATGGAACACTCTCATCAAAGTCTCTGGACTGCATCCTGGAGCAAATTACAGGTCGAAAGATAATGGAATCAAATAATTGAATTATTCAGAAGGAAGCTGGTAGGGTGGAAGAAGTCATATCTCTCTGAAGGTGGGAAGGTCACTTTGATTCAAGGTGCCTTGTCAAATCTACAAATTTACTTTGTTCCCTCTTTAGAGCCCTAGGCTTGGTAATCAACAAATTGGTAAAGCTAAGGCATGACTTCCTTTGGGATGGAATAAATAAAGGGCCTAGTGCACGAGGCTCCTGCCAATGCCGGGTCTGGGGAGGGACAGATGTACATACCCCCACACATAAAGAGAGGCTGTTTCCAAGTATGTATCCCTAAATGGAAGGGTGGAATAGGCAAACAGCCTCTAAACCTGTTGAATAAGGATCTCTTGGGGAGAAGGCTTTGGAGGTGCAGCCAAGCGAGAGAGGATCATCCATAGAGGAAAATGATTCAAAGTATGGAGGTGATGTTTTAGATTGGAAGACTGAAAGTCTTCAAATATCTTATGGATCCAGTATATCGTAAGGGGTGATGCTAGTTAAGAGGAATCCTTCAGACTCACCAGATTCAAGCCTGGCAATGAGGGCAAGGATACCTTTTTTTTTGAAGGATGCATGGTGTCAATCCAAGATTTGAAGGAATCAGACCTTCACATGTTCAACATAGCAGGACCAGTGTTTTAAAAGGCGTGGGAGGCGTACGCCGCCTCCAGGCGAGGCGCTCCCGAAACGCCCTGAGGCATATGCCAGAGGCGCTGACACCTCTGAGGCGTACGCCTCTTGCACTTTTCTCATGAGGCGTGCTAGAGGCGTATGCCTCTTGCGCCTCATGCACATCTGATATGAAAATACAGAAAAAAAAGAAAAAAGAAAAAAAGGAAAGGAAAAGAAAAGAAAGGGAAAGAAAAGGAAAGGAAAGAGAAGAAAAAAGAGAAAAGGAAAGAAAAGAAAAGTAAGGGAAGGGAAGAAAACATATGGGGAAAGAAAATGGTTTGCCCCCTGTCCCTTCGGTTGGGGGGCCATCTTTATTCTTCTTAATATAAAAGATCTTTATTAAAAATAAAGAAAAAATGAGATCCCCCCTTCCTTTTCATCCTCCTCATAACCCCCTCCTCTTAAGGAGGCTTACGCCTCCTTGTGTTCGGGAGGCTTACACCTCTTGCGCTCTGAATTACGCCTCACACCTCTAGGTAGTGGAACGCCTCGCGCCTCCGCGTTTTAAAACACTGAGCAGGACAGGTTGATGATAGAATCATTGATTGTTATGAGATCAGTGCAGGTCAAGTCATATGGTCTCCAAGCATGAGAAGAGACCTACAGGATTGGGAGGTTCCAGAACTGATATCACACTTTGGAGATTGTTAACAGGTTCCAATCTAACCCTAATGAGGATGACAGGCTATGGTGGAAGGAGACACAATCACGTGAATTCTTAGTGAGTTCCTTTTTCAACAACTTAATAGAACTAAGAGGAGCTAATGTGCCATGGCACAAGATGGGAAACTAAGGCCCCATTAAAAGTGATTTTATTTATGCTGATAAAGTAAGTGGTTTTTTCTCTGGTCTGCAATCTTGAACAGAACCCTAACTATTAAGTACTTGAAAAATGAGGCAAACTTTGCAGTCTTTGTGGGAAAGAAGAAAAGATCAATCCCACATCTACTGATTCGCTGTAGCTTCCCTCACAGTGCCTGGGTGCATATGTTAAAGCTTTTTGGTAAGACAGTGGGTAACCCTGAAGGACCTCATATCCTCTTGGCCATCACCTGTGCTCAGTAAAAGGGGAGTTGTTTTGTGGAAGTTGGCTCCTCTTGCAATATGTTGGCAGGAGTGAAACAACAGAATTTCCATTGGTAAAAGCTCCCATAGAGAACTGGTTATTGGCAACATTGGGAGACTACTCATTTTTTTTGGTCCAAAGCCTATAAGGAATTTATAGGTTTTAAATATTAACATTTCTTTAATCAGTGGCATAATATTGTATTTGACGTGGATTTTCTGATGCAATAATTTATAAATAGGACCACACATAATGCTCAAGGTCACAGCAATCACCATGCTTTTCTGTAAGGATTTTTCTTTTTTATTTCTTTTATTTTTTTTTGGGGGGGGGGTTGGGAGATCCTTTCCCTCTTATAATACAATATGCTTTCCACCATTTTCAAAAAGCCAAAAGAAGAACCTAAATAGATTATTTTCTAATAAGGGCTTCATAATAAAAAGTCTTCCTTAAGTAGAAACTAAGTCTTGATTGAGTTGATTTGAATCACATGAATTGTATATATAAATAGTAAGGTGTATGAATTAAATCATAGGATTAAAAAAATAATCATAAGAATTTTGCAAAAAAAAAATCAGACTTTAATTTTGAATCTAAACCCTTGGCCTTCATGATTTGAATAATGAATTATTTTGTAAATTGCAGGATTTTGACAACTATGGATTAGAATCATGAGATCTATGGATGAATGAGATCTATACATGAAGAGTCTTGAACCCTTAACCAATCAATTGACATCACATTAGAGATGCTAGATTACTTCTGTCTAGATTGAACATCTTGTTTGGCTGGGTGCCATGATCTCCTAACTGTTTGGAAGAATTTCTAGGAGGGGGCCAGAATTGTTTTGTGTTCTTTCTCTTTCTGGACAATCATTTCTTTGTATTTTCTTTTATCTTGGCTGTTTATTCTTCATTGCATCTGGTTACTTTGGTGCTTCTTTCTCTTTTGCCTTTTGTGAGTCTGGGGGAAGGTTTGTTAATTGTACATTTCCCCATTATTAATAAAGCAAAGTCATTTCAGTTAGTGATTTAAAAAATAATTATTTATTTGAGGACCTTACTTCTTAAGTAATAAAATAGCATAATTTTTATACATTTATTTGATATATGTTTTTATGGTTTGGCCGTTGACATTTTTCCATGTTAGCTACCACATGACTATTGACAGATTACTGGGAATTTAAGTATTGGACTAATAGCTGGGTTTCATTTGTCATAGGTTAATCTGGATGATGAAGAAACCAATAACTTACGAGATCGTCTTCTCCCCCTTATTATTGGATTACTAAGAACGGTGAGTCTTCTGTTGGTTGCTTCACGTAAGGTAGTTTCATGCTGTTTTGGGTATGGATATATGATTGCAAACCTGAAAACCTTATGTGCAAAAACACTCATGTTTTTATTGAACATAATTATTTACTGGATATTTATACCATGTTTCAGAAATAGCAACTTGAACAATAAGTTTCATAGTTCATGATTTGGAGTTAATTGGGATATTTAAATTCCAACAACATGCTTTGAGGATGAAAATATAAGGCATATACCTGTCATGACTTATGTTGACCCATAATTCTAAGTAGGAACTATGCATAATCAGTTACAACATCCGAATTGAAGGTGTTAGCTGGATCACTGGTAAAATCTCTTGCTAGTTGTAGCAGGGACCTTTGATCAAATCCCATTAGGGTTGGGGGCTTTGGTGAACAGGCTAACCTCCATTATATAGTCCATTTTTGTACCCAAAAAAGTGTAGCCTAGACCTGATCTTAAACAAATCTGAAGTTATCCAAAAGCTAGAATCAAATGACACTCTATCTGCAACATTGAAGGAATAAGCCTTAAGGTTGGAAATGGAAACAGAGTGTGATTCTGGCTGGATCAACGGTGTGGCCATACAACATTAAAGGACATGTTTCCTGTTCTGTTTAGTGTGGCACAGTGGCAGAAAACAAATTAGCATCAGTTGCGGACTCCTATATGATGGATGTTAGCAGAACTACATGGGTCTTTTGATTTAGAAGGAGCTTTAATGATTGTGAGCTAGAAATGGTAACATATCTCCTGGCTATGTTTCAGAATCAGCAATTAAATCCCCAGGATTCGAGGTGCTGGAAATGGTCAAACTTGGGATTTTTCTGTCAAATTCTTTTGCATAGGCATAGTTGGGGAATCCAGGCAGCACTTCCCAAGCAAGGCTATATGGAAGACTGCAGTCTGTAGCCCATCAAAAGTGAAATTTTTTGCATGGGTGGTAACCAGGGAGATATGCCTCACTAAAAAATGTTGATGAAGAAGGGCATTCTAGATTTGATATTCCCTCTCTGCAGCATGGAAGTCGAGGCTCCAAACTATTTGTTTATTCACTGAAACTTTAATACAACTATATGCCATCATTTTATCAGGGTTCTAAACCTAAAATGGTGCTTCCTGCATTCAGTGAAAGAATTTTTGGGAGGATGACAGGTCTTGGGTATGTCCAAGAAAGGAAAATGCTGTTGGTCATCCATTCCATTATCTTTGTCGTGGGCCATATGTTATGAGAGGAAAAATAATTTTAAGCAGAAAGCAACGTCTGAAGCAAGGGTGATCAATGGAGTGGTTGAGCAACTTAGGAATTGGTTGTGTACACAATGTATTTAAAGAAGATACTTTTTTCTGCTTCTTTTTTGAAGGTTAATTTTTCTGTAGGTTCCCAAGGCTCGGTTTGGAAAGAGTACAAATACAAATATGTACACTGCAAAACAAGGTTTATAAATAGAAAATACATGTTTTTGCACTGTAAACATTTGTATTTGTACTCTTTCCAAACTGAGCCTAAATGCATATACATGTGTAGCACCTCATTGTATAGAAGACCATACACATTTTTTTGACATAAACACAAATTACATTACCTTTCTCAACCAAAAAGAAAAACAAAGAGCTCTATCTGCATCTTCAAAGTTCAAACTCGGGATGCACCTATCATTTGGACAGTGAAAAGAAGATATTAGCCACCAACCATCTGTTAGAACATTGCTTTCCTTTAAAATTTCTTCAATTTATCTCCTTTGAAGTGCCCCAATAGATTACAAAATGTATAGTAATTCATACATTTTTTGATTTATTACCACCTAAGAAGGGATATTCATGATTGGGAGATTGATGACTTCTCTAGTCTTGTGGGTTTGCCATCCAACAACCAGATCAATCTTAGTGTCCTGTACGCTAGAGTTTCATTCTTTTGTTTTATATCTCCTAGGTTGCCCCTAGCTTTCCTCACCAAACCGTTTCTATGCATGTTTTACCCGCCATGATATCCTTTGTTGGACTGCTGCTTGGAGAAATGTCTCACCGCTGATAATTTGACAAGGGGAAGGGCATTGAAGTCCACCAATTGTTGGCTGTGTTCTGAAAGTGAATTAGTTGATTGCTTTCTAATTCATTGCATTTTGTCCATCTATCTATGGGCTTCTTTCTTTATTTTATTTACAATGTTTTGGTGTCCTTCCTTGTTGGTTAGCTAGCTCTTCAGATTCTGGAAATTGTGGAACCCTAGCAGACAAGGTTCTTCCATATGGAGTTGTCTCATGGTCATATTTTGGGCCATGTGGAAGGAAAGGAACATAATCAATGAGCATTTCACCATGCGGAGATGTGGAAATTTTAGGGATATTTCACACGTTTTACTAAGATATTTGTAAAACCTAACGAAATCAGGGCCCTTGGTTTTCCTCACCAAACCCTTTACCAGCCATGATATCCTTTGTTGCTTGGACCGCTGCTTGGAGAAATGTCTCACTGCTGAAAATTTGACAAGGAGAGGAAGTGCATTGAAGTCCACAAGTTGTTGGCTGTGTTCTGAAAGCGAATTAGTCAATTGCTTGCTAATTCATTGCATTTTGTCCATGTATCTATGGGCTTTTTTCCGTAGAGTGTTTAGAATGTCGTGGTGTTTTCCCTTGTTGATTAGCTAGCTTTTCAGCTGCTGGAAATTGTGGAATCCTAACATACAAGGTTCTTCCATATGGAGAGTTGTCTCACTGATCGTATTTTGGGCCATCTGGAAGGAAAGGAACATGGTTTGCAATTTTGATATCAATGAGCATTTCACCATGCAGGGATGTGGAAATTGTGGGGATATTTCATTAATTCTACTAAGATATTTGTAAAATCAATCGGAATCAGGGGAAAATTCCTGGACACATGATATCTGTTAATGAAACTTTTTTTTATCAATAACAGAAAACTTTCATTAGAGAAATGGAGAAAAGATTTAAATACAATGGTGGGGGAGGTAAACTCTCCCCCAATGAGAAAATTACAATGTAGCCCAAAACAAATGACTTCTTCCCACCCCTTGTTTGGCCGGTGCATCTGCAAATGAATTGGCACGTCTTTTGACCCACTGCAGACGTACTTCCATTCCCTGAGTTACCCACTTGAATTGTCTTCGTTCATTGATATATGTCCATAACCCATCATTTGCCTTCCCTAACCAGCCAATTACCACTTTTGAATCTCTCCTTCAATGATCAACCTATTAACATTCAATTTCTTAATCCTTGGCCCTTTTCACCTCCTCTAACAAAGCCAAAATTTCTGCTCTCAATGAATCCCCAAATCCAATTGGCCTGAAAAAAGAGCTATTACTGAACCTTCCTCCGATCTGAAGATGCCACCAAGGCACCAACCCTGATGGCCCCAAATTACCTTCACTGCTGCCATCAAAGTTGAGCTTGATAAAACCTGCAGGAGGATAACAAGAAGGTTGAGCGATGATTTTGATTGGAGCTGTGGCTGCTATTTCCTACCAATTGTTCAGAATGGTCTCTAAGGGAATGTCATCAAGTATCTACACCGTTTTTACCCAATGAGCCACCCTCAAAGTATCTATAGTTGAAGAAGCTTTGAATACTTGAAGGGGGGAGTCCACCTGCAACCAAATAAAGAGAGAAAATACTTCCAAATAGAAAGGGCAGGATATTAGTAAGTGAAAGCAAGATTCATCATTGGCTTTAGAAAGGGTAAACCAGTTAGGGGACAAGCACCAAAAAGGCTTCTTTCTTTGAATTTGATCACAAGTATTAATTCTTTTCAGATCTGTTTCCCACAAAGTGCCCCAACCCTAGATGGGACCGGTTTCCTCCACACTTCTTTAGCGGGAAAGGAATAAGCAGGAGTAGGAGAAGGTTGTGTTAGGGCTTTGAAAAAGGAGGTACAAGTGAAGGAGCTAGAAGAGGAGAGGGTCCAAATCCAAGAGTCCAACTTAGAAGGATCCAAGAAGACCTTTTGAAGTAAATGAACCCAAGACAAAACCATATCCATCTCTGATTCTCTGAGACCCGTCTAAACCCCAAATCCCAATTAAGCTCAGGCCTTGGACCATAGGAGGAAACAAAGGTGGAGGTTGGCTCATTTTTATACCTAGAAAGGGAGCATAAAGAAGGGAATTGATCTTTAAGTGGTACCTCCCCCACCCACACATGTTCCCTGAATCTTACCAAATTCTTGGAGCACAGGTTATACATGACAAAGGGTAGAAAAAAGGAAGGATGGCATGAATAGCTTTCCAAGGTGCTGCACTAGTTGCTCGAGCCAAAACTCCTGCGTCCTAGCCATCAACCGCCAGCCCATGAATGCTCATAATCACTTTTGTTGACAATTTATCCTAATCCACTGGAAATCTCCACAGCTATCAGTGACTTGTTATTTTGACTTATTTCTTTTTTGTCAATAATGTTTTGATTAGGTTGAGAATCCTCATTTGGTAATGCAATCACAATTGCTATTTGTTCTTTCAAGAAATATTTGCAAGAAAGTTTGATATTATTTTGCATTTCCTCTTAGCATAATATAGCAATGGATATGGCACTAAACAGAATGGAATGTTGAAACAGGATTCATGTCGCTGATTCCATATAGTCGGGATAAGGCTTAGGTGATGTTGATGATGATGATTTTGTCTTGCTCCTTAGCTCCTTAGCGAAATGGGGAGATTTCTATGTGGTATTTCTATTTGTATGAGGTGGGGTGACTACTTGTCATCTATTTCGTTATGAATAATTTTCTTCATAAAGAAGAGAAGCCAATGCATTTGCTGACACATTTGCTAGACAAGGGGGGGGGGGGGGGGACAATTTATTTTGGGCTATGTTGTAATTTGATTGTTCTTTGGGGAGAGTTAAGAGATTTTATCTCTCCCCTTTTTCCTTGTACCTGTTCATTATTAATGAAATTGCCTTTGTTATTGATAAAAAATGAACAAGTTTTCTTGGAGTGAACAATTTGATAGCAGCGGTACAAGGGCCGAGATACTAGCAGCGGTACAAGGTATACAGATGACCAGTCAACTTGGAGTAAACAATTTGATAGTAGAATGGGATTCCAAGGTAGTAGTGGGCTGGCTGACAAGTCCAGAAACAGCTTGTTGGGGCTACAGGAATCTGTTAAATAAAGTTAAATGGCTGACAAGAAATATGACAGTCAGGGTTCAGTGGGTCAGCAGATCAGCAAATGCAATGGCTGATTCTCTGGCCAAGCAAGGGGTATCAAGGGGAGATCTATTTTGGGCTACCTTGTAACTGTGTTTCAGGCTTGTGTATGTTTAGTGTTTATGTTTCAGTCCTTGGAGGAGGTAACACCTTGTGCCTCCTCCTAGGCTGACTGTACTTTCTTTATTTGAATTAATAAAACTACTCTCACTTATCAAAAAAAAAAAAAAAAAGAACAAGTTTTCTTCTTTATTTATCTTCAAAAAAATGGGGAGATTTTCTGAGATCCTAGGTTTGTTCAGAACCATGATCAAGAGACTTAGGTTGTGATTTCTGAGATCCTAGGTTCTGTTCAGAGAAGTTTGTAGACTTAGGTTGGTTGCTGTCAGCGGTGTGGGCTTAAGAACACTGTTAAGGTCCTTTGGTGGGAGTTGGTAGTGGTTGATTGGCAATAAAGGATCCTAATTAATTGAACAAGTACTTCAATGTTGTGATGGTATTTAGCAAGCTTTTGGTGGGAACAGGATGTGGTAATGTTGCCATAGATTCTTAATAGCTGTATGTTTACTATTTTCTAAAGGTGGTGGTCTATTTTGCATAGCAACTTTTCTATCAGGGTTGTTGTGCAGGGATAGTTCTTTTTGTTGCTGCTTCCTGATTTTTCTATTTTGTTTGTATGACCTTTGTGTGTTTGCTGTTGGTGTACCATATTCCCTTGAACTAAAAGAATGATATTTAGAGAGCTTAAAGGAAGTCATTTGTACGAATATCTTCTAGCCCTCAGCCCATTTCTTCCAGAGATATATTCTTTATGGCCTTATTTTTTGGGGGTCCTAAGGCAAAAATCTTCTGGAATGTTTTTTTTTTTAGGTGGTTTGGGGGGGGGGGGGTTAACTGGTAAGGATTAGAAAAAGATTTTGGAATCATAGAGGTCATGTGTGGATGTTGGATCCCTTGTTTTTGATTGGGTTTTGCTGCTAACAGACTTTGAAGATGTGGTATAAACTTAATGGACTGCCTAGTGCATTATTGAATATGATACATAGGCTCGAAAAAGTTCTATTTCTTTTTAGTCTGATGTCAGGAGATGGTTTTTAAGATTTTCTTTTATGGTTCTCTCTGCCATGTTACTATAAAGCTTTTCTTTTATTCAATTTTAATATTTTATCACTTTACTATAAACAAGGCTTGTTCCCATAGACTTGTAATGTGAGACATATGAACAAGTCAACTTTCTATGGACTGAGAGATACTTGGATCTTACTTATCTTTCTTGATTCAATGGTTTCATGCTTCTGCCCTTTATGTGAACATGCTGAACAGTTGAGTAGAAAGATTGGTTCATTCCTGCATCTGATTTATTTTCCATGAACTAGATGGCTTTATGCTTCTGCTCAACTAGCATAAAGCCATCCGACTCCACAGATTTTAAAATTTTTGGGTGCTAGGATATTTTTATTGTTGTAGGTCTCTTAAGAATATGGTTTTAAACTTTTAATATTTCTAGAAAATTTCTCTTATTTCAGAATTACTACTATGGTAACTTTTAGGCATACTATTCATAGTAATTCCCACATTTATAATTTATACGGAACTTGCGATATGCTATTTTAGTAATTTATGATATCCTTACATTAAGTTAGTCTAAGTAGGATTATTAAAGTTTTGTCAGAGTTGTTTTGAAGTTGGAGCGCCCCTATGGGTTTACCTATGGATTTGCTTTAATTTTAAAGCAATTAGAAGTTGATTTGGGTCTGTTTTCTAGTTAAAATTGGAGTCTGTAATGGGACATCCCGAGTTCATAAGTTGAGTCTATAGATAGTCATTATAATTGCAATTAAGGAAGAGTTATTTGACAATATAAAGTTTGGTTTGGTGAATTATGGTTGTTGCCATGTATTTTTCTCTTTTTTTTCTCCCTCATTCTCACCTATTTCTTCTTCTAAGCGATTATGTTTTTGCTGTTACTTTACAACTAGAGTTCCTTCTATTCCTAACTTCTCGCCCGTTATTTGATAGACAGAAAGCTGAGTACTTGCTTTTCCATCCTTATTTAAACACCCCTAACATCTCCTTCACCCCATAAAGCTTGCCACCAGATCTGAAATTTGTAGGACCTCTATCCTGTCCTATATCAAGTTTTGATGCAAAATAAATATGTTCAAAATTTAGATCACTAATGTAATCTCATATCGAAGTAAATATAGATTGCAAATGTGCAAAAAAGAATGATATAGAACATTCATTTAACAACAGGGTTGGATAGACTGAGATAAGGGTGAAAGCTTTAGTTTTTCAAAGAAAAAGTGCAACCTTGACGGTTTGTGTAGCAACACGATATCAGCACACTGCTGATTAGAAGAAGACCTACAAGAACTCCTCTACAGATATTTTATTTATTGCTATGTTTATATTTTATATATTAGAATCACAGAATCACCCCAACTATGTTTCAACATGAAATTTTAAAGAATATACAGGATAATTTTAAATAATTAGAGACAAGCAGGAAAAAATTAAGTTTTAAAACAATGTTGTTGTTGACTAGGTCAAGTGGTCATTAGTGGATCAGTTGGAATGGTCCTCAACTGACTGATTGTTTGACTATTCGTTGCTTTGATAACACTCCCATTACATTATGTTTTTTATACATTAATGTGGCAATTCTGCATAAAAAAAGGAAAACTAGTTTTCAAATCAGGATTTGTTTTTCTGTTTCCAGCTGCTTCTGTTTTAGGCAGTGTTTTATGCAAGTGGTCATTTGAGAGGCAAGTAGAATTAGTCTCCCTCTATTTTTTATAAAGATGATTGAAGCTCCATATTTGAAATGTTTGCCCTAAGAGTCAAGTGTGCCCTTTATGTAAATGCAACCACTGAATCATCCTTATATTCTGTTATCTGCATTGTTGTGTTGGGCACTTCCGTATTCAGTAATGGAATTGCATTATAAATTCTATTTAGGGCATCTTCTCATGGATCATGGTTCTTTTCAGGCAAAACTCCCTTCTGTGTTGAGGATATATCGTGATACACTGATTGCTGATATGAAATCTGCTATTAAGACAACAGTTGCAGAGTTACTTCCCATTCTGGTTGCCCGACCTCAGGAATCTGATTTGATGACAGGGGAAAGAGCAATTGAAGGGGATGGTCAGATTCAATAGCATAATTACTATTTTCTGTTATTGAATTTTCACTTATGATTTCACGTCAATGTTTTTAGCTTCTACAATAGTTTGTTGTTCTTCTGTTTTGTTTCTTATGACTCAGGTGGGGGCTCAACACTTGCAAGCAAGTTGCGAAACCTTTCACCCGAAAGCTTTGTTCAACTTTTGGATGCTATTTTCAAGGTTGTAAAGGTATGGTAATGCTAACTTATTTTTTTCTTCTTTATTTATTATTTCTGATATTGTGAATATAAAGTAACCACCATGTGAAAAGAAATAACAAGGAATGGGTTGGGAAGATATCCTAGACTTAGAGTATGGCTTTGGTGGCAGAGGCCAGCCTAAAAAGAGGGGTGCTTGGCTTGCATGTACATAAACCATTTTTTGTTACTACTCAATAAAGCTAACAGTTACCATATCTTAGAGGATCATCCTCTAAGGATGTAAAATGCACCTTGGAGTTTGGGTATTTTCTTCTTCTGCTTTCTAAAGGCTTTTCTCACTTATTTCTGTCTTTGATGTGGAATTCTTGGATTGCTATTCCTTTCTTTTCTTTCTCCAATTGGTACTCTCGTTTTTTTGAGCATCATGTGCAATTCTTTTTTTTTTTTGTTTTTTGATATGACAAATATTTGACTATTTTCTTTTCATTGAATTTGTAACAATTAAATTTCTTCTTTGAATCTAAAATCAGGAGGAAGAGAGAGGATGTTGGGAAAGATGGAAAAGGGTCACCAAAGTGAATCACTAAAGACCATGAAGTTCTAGAGAAGTCTAGGGACTGCGTTGTATTGAAAAGTAATGAAAGATTCACTTAAAATGGTTAAGTGCATGTGATGATAGATTTATCATTTTGAAATGGATTTTAGGTGTGCTAATAGCATGTGCACTTCTAGAAATGGTAGTAGGTTACCTCCTTAATATGGTGAACCTGGATAGTCATTTGAATATGGTCATCCCTTTGTTTCAAGTGGTGTGGGGTGGGGGGAATGCATGTGTGGATCAAGTTGTCTAGACTCTAGAGTATTCTTTTAGGCTTGATCTACAAGAGAGAACAGAAAAAATTGAAAAATGTCTAGGGAGTGAAAGGATGTGTTGCCCTTGTTGTAATTGCCACAATTATCCTTAAGGGAAAGTTCTTTTTGAAATCAGTTCAGGTATTTAGATGTAAGCGGCCATTACTTGGTGTAATGGTAAAATTTTGGTCTGACAAGTGTGAGAATTTGGATTCGGGTCTGACAGTGGCCACATTGTCCTAAAAAAAGAAAAGAAAATAAAAAAACACCAATGGCTGGATCTGCATCCAGTCCACCCCTCTCAAGATCCCAGATAGCTGGGTGGTTTTCTGGAGGGGGAGGGTTGTAAACAAACCATTGTTTGGGAAGTGGTTATATAGAGGTTCAGTAGGTAGGAGGGGACTCTGAGGAAGAATGGTTAGCAACAACTTTTTTGATTGGTGTCCAGGGATGTATCATCCACATATGGAGTATTCTATGGTAAGGTATCATGAGATTTCACCATAAGGTTGTATTTGATATTAGCTTCTTGGTGGAGAATGGGAATGGGGATTAATTATGGTGTTTGAGAAAAGTTTGTTAGTTGTGCCCAAGAGCCAGATCTGCACTAAATGTCATGGTTAGCCAGTACTTTCAAGAAAGATACGGGTAAATTTTTTGGTTACCTCAATTCATAAGTGTGTGATGACAAGGGCCATATACATTGGGTCGTCAGAAAATTAGATCCATTCTCTCACCATTCTCCCTTGATGACCTTTGTAGGAATTGGTTTGTGGTGGTAGGAAGTTATTCTAGAAAGGAAAGAGTAACCTCAGTGTAGATGCCCCCTCTAGAAGGATATGTGAAACTAAATTTTGGTTGAAGCAGTCAAGGCAACCCGGGCCCCTTTGGAATTAGAGGGATTAGGAAAAATAAGGAAGGCCGCATCATTACTTTGTTTTCTTGGCCAATGGGAGTGGGAGACTCTATAAGGGCTGAGTTGATGGAACTATTGCAAAGAGTCCAGATTGCATATGAGCTAAACATGGAAAGCTTGTTGATTAAAGGTGATTCTAAGCTGATTGTAGGATGGTTGAAAGAACCAAAGTCTTGATTTGGTGCTACAGAAACAAAATGAAGAAATTTAAATGGCTAACAAGAAACGTGACATTTGCTGATGTGTGAGCTGCTGATATGTGAGCAGATGCAGCTCACACATCCCCCGGGGATGCTTGTAGTTCTTATATTATATGATTAATGAATTTCTTTTACTTATCAAAAGAAAAAATATGAAATACCCAGAAATCAAAGGTAAAGATAGTAAGCACAATAAAGTTTTAATGGTTTGAAGGAATAGTGATTCCATAGCTGAGAATTGAGATCATCCCTGAATGGTGAAAGCTTCATAAGCTGTGAAATGTGTTGGCAACTTGGCCTAAGTCCACACTATTCCTCAAGTCTATAGTTGGATGGTCTTGGGCCCACATTCTGGTCTGAGTTTGGTCTTTGGTTTGGCCCAGCCCATAGTATTTAGGCTTCACTGGACCCAAGAACACCTGGCCTAACCAAACATAGGTCAACCTATTCCCTTTGCTATCAATGATAATGCTGGGAAAATAATAAAATTAGGGGGAAAGGGTTCACAGTTCAGGAGATATGGTTGTAATATCTTTTCTTTTTTATATTGGACCATTACCCAATGCCTAACGTTAGGACTGACTGTATCCAATCCACTGGTTGTAATATTTTTTCTTTTTTATATCGGGCAATTACCCAATGCCTAACATTAGGACTGTATCCAGCCCACCCCTCCCAATACCCCAGAGAGCTGGGACCAACATTGGGTTATGAACTCAAGGTTTTTCATCCATTTTTTTCTGCTACACTGTAAATACTGTCTTAAGTTTGATGTAATTCCTCTATTTAGTGAATGCAGGCACATTTAGTGCGGGCTGCTGAAGTTAAAAAGGCTATTGAGTGGATCATGGGCAGCCTGGATGGATGCTATGCTGCTGACTCTGTTGCTGCAGCAATAACACGGGGTGCAGCAGCTGCAGAAAAATCTCAAGAGAGTGATAGTCAACTTAATTCATATCAGCCATATTCTCTTCAGAAGGATGCTACCAAGGTTTCTTCCTTTCAGGGAAAGGCAAATGATGTTTCAAGTCAATCAAATATGTCAAAAAATTTCAGGTTAGCTTTTCTTTATTTGGTCTTTTAACCTTTTGTACAACTGACATGACTTGGTCTCTGACATTCTACTAAATACAGTCTTCACTATTTAGAATTTTATATTATGTGCTATTTGACTTTTTTAAATGACAAGTTCATTTTATTTTTATGAAATAAATCTATACAAATTATCATGATGTTGAATGTTTAGGAGAGGAGATTTTTACATATAACTTTTATGTTTTTGTCTCAGATAATATTTTCCCCATGCATGTAAAATATTTTTTTCTTGTGATGCTTAATATAATAATTTTGTTATAAACAGAAAAGGGTAAAGTATAAACTTTTCTTTAGGGGTTGGTTGTGATAAAAAGGGGTTTGTGCTGAAATTTTAAGGTTTTCTAAGAGGAATAATCTGTTGAAGGTTTGTGCTTCTGTAGAAATCAATAACATTTCAAAAGAAGAGAAACCTTACGTGGGTGGTAAGACCATTGAACCACTGAGGCAAATATTGTTGGATTGATAGCTATAATTGAAATGGAAAGGAATTTTGAAGCTGTTAAATAATGCATCTTGTCTAGGGTGATACACTGGGTGAAAACTTTGGAGACCTCTCAGTTTTCCTATGATGACCTGTGGAGGAGTTGGGGAGAGGTTGCTCCCAGCTTATCTAGAAGGAATCTGTCTTCTGTTCCTTGGACTACTCCTGTAGATGATTTCATTAGGCTTAAATTTGATGGAAGCAATTGTGGAAACCCAGGCCTTTCTGGGATTGGTGTGGGGTCTTTAGAAACAAAGATGGACAAGTGGTTGCTTTATTTTCAGGTCCACCGGTGTGGGAGATTCAATCAGGGCTGAGCTTTTGGCAGTTCTACAAGGCCTACAGTTAGCAAATGAATTAATTTTTTTTTTATCAGTAAACATGTATTTTATTAAAATTCAGATTGTAAACAGTTTATACAACTTGGTGATGGGACTATTGATCCCCCTTAATCACTCTATTCTATCCCTCATTACGGTGCAGCCCAAAATAATTGCTGTCTCAATGCCCCCTGTTTTCCTAAACCGTCAGCTAGTCCATTTGCACTTCTTTGGACCCATTTAAATTCAGCCTCAACCTCCTTTGCAATCTTCTCCACTTCCCTAATCACATGTTTAAATTAAATTTACCAGGCTAATGGTGGAAGGAGATTCCAAAACAGGAGTGGAATGGTTGCAAAATCCGAAGACAGTTATTTGGGAATACAGGGATGAGTTTAAGAAGATCAAATGGCTTACTAGCAATTTAACAGTGATTTTTAAATGGGATAGGAGATCGGCCAATGGAATGGCTGTTTTTCTAGCCAAGCAAGGGGTTATTTATTCTGGGTTCAAATGTAACTTGTACCTGTATTTTATTTGTATTCTACTGCCTTTGGATGAGATGAATCTCTCACCTCCCCACGGGAAGCTTGTACTGATAATTCTTTGCTGTTAATAAAATTACTTATCAAAAAAAAATCCATGCTTGAACCAGACCTGTAGAGAAGATAAGAAAACTAGAAACAAAAAAAAAAAGAGAAATTGATGTAGAGAGTTAAGATTTAGAGGGAGGGAAGTGCATACACAAAACCAATAGATTGTTAATGCATCAATCAAAACCAATAGAAATATATTACAATTAATGTAGCGGGGATGCATAGATACTATACAATTTTATTGATAATGCATCAATCAAGAGTCCAAGACACATACTATATGGATTTTTACAAGTTAATACATTCAAAGCCATTATTATTTTATTTTCTATTAAAGTCCAAGGGACACAACATATGAAATTATTATATTAATTATTTTTTACTTTACTATTAGTATTTTTAATTTTTAACATTAACAAGAAAGGCAACTAAAAATTAATTCTAATGTTTGGTAAACAATATTTTTATTTTTGTAAGAAATATATATGTTATTATAAAATGTAAATTAAAATATCAATTAATGAAATTTACAAAAATTATAATGTTAAGTTAAAATATTCAAATCTATTAAAATTTCTATGATACATTTCATATGCAAATTCATAAATTTTATTTAGTAAAATAATTATTCCATTATTAATATTTTTATTTCTATAGATTTTTAAAGTAAAAAATATCAATTTTTTGATATAAATGTAGGTTAGTTGATTTTATAGATTCACTTTATATTACATTCTCGAATATTTTGTAGAGAATATCTTATTTTTGTAAATAATAAATATGTTGCTATTTAATGAAAAATAAAATATCAATTAATAATTTATAAAAATTTTAAGATACATATCATCTGAAAATTTATAAATTTTAGGTACTACTGTAATTATTTTATTATTACTATTTTTATTTGTCTAAATTTCTTGAGATTAAAAACCATTTTTGATATAAATATCTATTTTATATATCATTTATTCCTTTAGTTTAGAAAATACTAATTTTGAATATTATTCTTTTTAATCTTTAGTTAGAGTTGTTGAACACAAACATGTGTTAGTTATTTGGATTGCATGTGGACATTAAAGTTAATAAAAGTTATTTTATTTCATTTATTATCAAATGATGGAAGATGGTTCAGGGGTTTGAGGATGCATTTAAGTCTTGGGCGTTGGGCCACTTGCATTCAAATCACCTAACTTGCAACTTTTTTAATAGAGATGGAATGTTTTCTATGCATATCAGTTGATATTGCCTCATATCGGTGAGTATTGTCCAATACAATGCAATACAAGCCGATACGGGTGCATATCGGCCCAATATGTGTGACTCATGGGATACAGGCCTATTCGTAGTGTGCCTATTCGTAGTGTGTCCATATACTCTATAATCAGTACTGATACAATACACACCAAATCAAATATCAATTAAATCAGTATAAATGGATGCCAGGAATATAGCTTGCATCTTTATACTGCCAAAATTGTTTGCTTGAGTATCCAGTTAATAATTATCAGCAGGGTTAGATAGTTCTTATGGTGACACAAAGCAACTACCATGTGATATTGGCAAAAGTTATTTTGTTTGACTAAATTAGTTACAATCTTGATTACATGGAATCTTACCAAGTTATCCTAGATATTCTCTATGACATCACTACACATGACACACAAATCGGGGAAAGTTAATGAAGATAACAAAGTCAAGTTGGAGAGCCATAAGAAGGAATTTGCTGTTAGCTTGCTATGCTCTGCTTTCATATTTTTTTATCTTTTAGAAAGTTGAATTTATGGACTTCTGGATTAGTGTCTTGTTATTTAATTTCTTTATTATATGCCTTAACATACAGCTTGTTGTCATTTTCAGTTTTAATATATGGATAGAGATTTGTTGCTTGCTTATATAATTTCAGCATTCTAACCAGACATGATTTCTAACAGAGCCGATGTTTTGCGAGAGAATACTGAAGCTGTATTTGCAGCTTGTGATGCTGCTCATGGAAGATGGGCTAAGCTCCTTGGTGTTCGAGCTCTTCTTCATCCTAGGTTAAGAGTGCAGGAGTTCTTAAGCATATATACTATCACCCAAGATTTCATAACTGCTACTGAGAAGGTATTGTCAATCTTTGAGGAGCATTTTTTAAATTTGTGCTTATTATTTTAAACTACTTTCAAATAAACAGATTGGTGGAAGGTTGGGCTATAGCATCCGTGGAACACTACAATCACAGTCAAAAGCTTTTGTGGAGTTTCAACATGATTCTCGGGTTAGTCTTTTATGAGGTGTGAAGTGTGTTTAGCTTGTGTGAGATATGCACATTCTTGCCATTCTAACAGCTCCGATTTGTTACCCTAGATGGCAAAGATCAAGGCAATTCTTGACCAAGAGTCATGGGGTCCAGTAGATATCCCTGATGAATTTCAAGCAATCATTGACTCAATTCTTTATTCTGAATCTCTAATGAATGGAAACCAGGCCGATGTTCCTGGAAATATAGAAATAAGTGCTGAAGGGGTCTCAAGAAATGATGGTTCAATCGTGTTAGATACTGGAATATCTTCTTCTGAACAGAATACTGAACAGAGTAGTTCCATTAAAACTTCATCAAATGACACCATAGAAGTCAAAACCAAGGCTGCAGAAAACCAAGAAGGAACTCAAACTTCTGTTCGTTCATCTCAGAATGATGATAATAATACAAAGGAGCATGTAAAATCCACTTGTCAGACTCTTGTGTATAAAGGTGTTGGTTATCACATGGTAAACTGGTTAGTTATTCTTTCCCATGGGTATTTTAATTCTTGGTGCATCTTTCCTCTTGCTTGCTTCTATACCTTCAAATTTACAAGCCTTCAGTTTGAATTGGTTGTTTGGCATATCTACTGTGTTTCTTTCTTGTTTCTTCTTTAAATCAAATTTTGTGTGATTTCTGTAAAAGTGATGTGTCAATTAAATGTTTTTGTTCATATCTTAGAACTCAATGTGATTTAGTTTATTCAGGTCCCTATTTGACACTGTTTTATATATGTTAGACTTAAGTCTTCCTTTTCTTTTATATACAAAAAGAACCATGCAATTGTTTGTTTCTTTTATATCAATGTACTCTGATAAAGATATTGAATAGTGTATGTGTGGAAGTAAACTAACTTCATTTATTTGTTTCTTTTTCAGTGGTTTAATTTTGCTGAAGCTGTTGTCAGAGTACATTGATATGAATAATCTTTTGCCAGCATTGTCACCTGAAATCGTGCATCGTGTTGTGGAAATTTTAAAATTTTTTAACACAAGAACCTGTCAACTTGTTCTTGGAGCTGGCGCCATGCAGGTAGATTTTATTATTGTCAGCACCAAATTGATCACATGCCTTCTAAAGAGGAAAGCCTTGTTGTTGAATTGAAAACTGAGATAAAAGGCAAAGAGATCCTCTATGTGCAAACATATGTTTATGTTTGTGTTTTGTATGGATATTGTTTATGCCAATGGGATACTACATCAAATAGAAACTTTGTTCTTTAAATTTATCATACTCAATTTATATTACTATTTTTTTTTTTGTATTAGTTTGGTTTATGAGTATTAATCATGTCTATATTAAACAAACTTTTATGTTTCAGAGAAAATTCCATTTACCTTAATGCTTTTTCTAATGGAGGAAAGTTTATACTATTTCAATATTTTCTGTTAAACTTCTCATCTTTGAAGAATCAAAATTTAAAAGTGAAATTGATCTGACCTTGTTGAAGCCTAATTTGAAAGTTGATTAGAAGGTCCACTCAATAAATTAGCTGATGCCTAAAATGTAGTTTCCATGTAACCACCCCCACAACAATATCATAGTGTTGCCTAATGATTCTCCCTCTCAACTTCCATGTTGCAAGGGAGTCAGTCTTTTATGTGAATATGTTTTGGCATATTATTATGTATGCTCATCAATCGTACATCACTGATATTCTTAGTATTTTGGTTCTAGTGAACCAGTAATTGGTTTCTTCTGCTTTCTATATTAATACTATGATATCAAGTAGTAATCCTATTCTTGCTTAACTGTATTCTTTTTTATCACAGGTTGCTGGTTTGAAGTCCATAACTTCTAAGCACTTGGCTCTAGCAAGTCAGGTTATTAGTTTCATTTATGCCTTTATTCCAGGTAGGTGATAACAAATCCAATATGTATTCTATCATTAGAAATTGTCACATCTGTGCTACTATTGGGCCAGAATATGCAGTAATAATATAGTTAGTTTATTACTCTTGCTATATGGTAATTTAGTTCTTGATACAACTAACTTTAGAATGATTTGCTGACACAGATTGTCAAAAATAAATAAATCTTGGAAACAGCCTCTCTGTATGTGCAGGGGTAAGGCTGCATACATCTATCCCTCCCAGACTGGCAGGAGCCTCATGCACTGCACTGCCCTTTTTAGTTTACTATAAAGAAGTTGTATGGAGCACAGTGTTGGGCAGTTAAGAAACAGCATGCCCAGAAAATGAGTGGTAGAAATGCAAATGTTCAGATTGATGAGTGGTAAAATTAGAAAGGACAGGGTTAGAAATGAAGTCATACAAAGTAACCTAAGAGTAGTTCCAGCCTCCAATAGATGATAAAATGAGAGAAGGTGGATTTAGATGGTTTGATCATGTGCATAGAAGACTATCTACAGCACCCATTAGGAAAAGTGATCTGTTACAAGTTGAAGGGGCTAGAAGAGCTATGGGCAGACTGAAAAAGACGTGGGTGGAAGTAATAAGAAATGATTTAAGCCCCATAATTTATTGATGGATATAGCACTGAACAGAATGAAATGGTGAAACAAGACTTATATAGCCAACTCTATATAACTGGGACAAGGATTAGACGATAACAAAGATGATAAAAACAGTTCAATATAGGAGGGATTCTGTCTTGACATAGACACAGTTTTGGACACATTGACATGGATTTGGAAATGGCCAACATATCTTGTATTATGACAAACCATAAAAGGTATAAAGAATCTGATTAGGAATGAAGATAATGAAATACAATAGTCAAGTTGCTACTATAGCTTACCACCAAAAGGTGGGGAGGAGTTGAAAAGTAAGCAATCCATACCTGAAAAGTAAGCAATCCCCTTCTGGACAGTACAATTACCTTTTTGCAGGCTTAAGAGATGGTTCACTCTTTTGTATTCTTTCTTCTTAGGGGCCATTTGATAACAGATGAAGGGTCTAGACTAAATTGTTTATTGCTTTTTCTTTTTGTAAATAAGTTATTAAGGAGGTTGTGGGCTCCTCAATGGCTGAAAATGAAGTTGGATTTTTTACCATAATGTCAAATATTTATTATTTAATTATTTTGTTTACTAAAAGACAAAACATAAGTCATTCAGTTCAACCACTATCAAAATGCTCCTTATACAACAAAAAGAGGCTTCTCTCTTATTTTCTCTCTTTGGTTTCTCTTGCTCTTTCCTTATAATTTTTGTCTAAAAAGCTTCTTTGTGTCTATTGAACTTTTGATTACTGCAAGCAATCCCTTTCTATGAGCTTTTGACATGGTTCTTCTTCTTTGATTGTTACTGTTTCTTTTAATTGTAAGATTTTAGTGCATCTAATCCAGAAATTGTTTGTATATTCTCGTAATGTTTTTTCATTTTTTCAAGATATATTCTGACATTGCTTCACTGTGTATCAAAAAGAAATCAGAATAGTTCTTTTCCTGAAAGTACCCAAGTCACGTAAGGATCTGTTGCTTTCTGAGATTGATCGAGTGGCTCAGGTATCTTTATACACATTCCCTCCAATCTTTCACTTCATCACTTGATTTTTGTGATAGAATTACATCATCTGAATGTTTGTAAAGTCCAATAGGGAACACATTTTAAAGAACCATTTGTTTGGTGCAACATTGAAACACTAGTATATAATAAATAAATGGGTTTCACTGGTTGTCAGAGCTGCATCCAATATTGACTGATGGAGAGAGAGAGAGAAAGAGTTGGGAAATTTACCCCTTTAACTGAAGTAGCATAGGGAAAATCGCGAAGTTGAGAAATTTGCCCCTTGTAGAGATTTGTGATTGTTTTCAACATTACAGGTTTTCTTATTTCTTATTTTGTAGCTGACCCCATACAGTTGGGACAAGGCTTAGATGATGATAGTGATTAATTACTTTTGTAGTCAGATTATCTAATAATTTTGAGGAATTATTACTTGATATCAAAACATAGGGGAGTAAATACATATACAACAAAAGATTGGGATAGAGGTCCTAAATTCATCTTTTTTAATTAAAATGTTTATATATTACTATTAGAAGTAAAAAGTAGACCCTTTTGGTGATTTACATAATGTCGGCAAGTGATTAAAGAAATTTGGCTTCACTAGTGGCACTCTAAGTGATTGTCATTAGTTTGATTCTTTTAATAGGTGAAAACTTAAGAGGAGCAGAGACAATCTTTGTAAGTGATATGCAAGCTCTATTATGAATGGACATATTCAAAAACTATGGGTTTTTGAGGGATTAGGCTTCTAGGCTTGAAAGCATATCTTACTTGGGTCAAGATTCCTACATGACTGTGCAAAGATCCTTAGTTGTCAGGTTTTGGATTGGCTCCTAAATATCTAGGCCTTACTCTATTCTGCAAACCTACTCCTTCCCTATCCTTAGGGCTCCTCTTGAGGTGATGAAGAGAATATGGAAAACAAGAAGATAGTTCCTTTGGGTAACAGGGGGCACAAAAAGAGGTGCAACCAATCAAATTGGAAATAGTGTGCAAAATGAAGGAGGAATTGGGAGATCAAGGATGCAGTGAGTAAAGAGTAGATATTATCTTTCAGGGTTGTGCAGTAATGTTGCATGATACAGACATGGGAGTTGGAATCTGACACATGTCCAAGAGTCTGACTCATTAAGATGACAAAGCATTTCATTGAATAATTCCAATCCTAGATTTATTTTCTTTATTTTGAAGTTGCTCACTATGTTGTAACAAGTCTATAATTCTGGTAGTTAAGCCTAGAAACCTTTCCTAACCTAACCAATCTCTACCATTAGTCTTAAAATCATCCTTAAACCCTTACTATCCCATCATGGCCTTCCTAGACTAATCCTTGAGTCATTCCTATCCTACATTAATTTGCATCAAAGCTACTTGTCCAGAATCAAGTTGGTATTCCTAGTTATCAGTCCTACATCAACTTTCTATCTCATTTTACTCGTTTGATTGATATGCAAGCTATGATACCAGGATACCTGTTCATGCCTGGCATACCAATGTAGGATAGAATACATGGGCATTATAATACCAAGTACTGGATACTTCTACTTCTAAAATATAACTTTGTTAAACCTTTTAAAATTTGTAAATTGGAGTATTTGAACCATGCATTTTTAGAAGCATAATTAAAATTTGGTAGGATATTTGTATTAAGAAATAAGGTTTGATTTCTTGGAGCTACTTGAGTTGGGAGCCACAGGATTATTCAAATCTCAGCTAGGTTCATGATATTCTTCTCAATCTTTGGAAATTTGGAGCACTGTTTGCATCAAAGATTCTTCAAATATGCATGAGAAGATGAAGCACTGGAGGTGGTTCCTGAAGATAGAAGCAAAGAATCTTTTGTTTGAGGAGACTAGAATCAAGGGGAAGTTGACCCAGTAGAAAGAAAAGAGTTTCTTGGAGAGGAGATACATGGGGCTGACCTCTCTACAGACTCACAACAAAATATCTACTCTCAGTTAACCCTAATCCCACATAACTGATGGCTTAAAGAAGCAAAAGGCCAAATTTTATCAAAATTTCACACAGGCCCCTCTTCCTTCCATAAATACATACAAGTCCCTAAAATTTATTGACATTACGAATATACCCCTATAAACTCCAACATGAATGAATTTGGAGTTTTTACGAAATTGGTTAACATTACCTAGGAAAGGAAAAAGAAGTAGGTTGAATGATTTGGTGTGTTAGAAGGGGGGAAGGGCCGGTGTGTTGAAGGTCCTACGAACAGGTGGTCACCAGCAGCATTAATGACATGTCAATTATTTTGAATTTTGGGGAACTGTTTGGGAATGCGAAAGGCTATGGGAGTGAGAATGAGCTGGAGCATTTTAAGACATTGGGCCTTGTGGGCCATGAGCTTGAATGTGCTACTTTAAATAGACACGTGGAAGGCCATGAAGTTGGGCTCGAGTTGTCCAAGTTTGTTCTATGCCTCGCTTAAGCCTTTTGAAGCTAGGACAGGTTTTAAAGCTATGAAGAATAATTCTGATTCTGTTGCAAATGGGGTTGGGTCCATGGTTGATGAAGAACATGACCTTTTGATGGATGCTAACTCACATATACCTTCTTCTTCTTCGACCCCATCTCAGGGAAATTGTTGACCAAAGGAAGAATGTTATGGTTCTTAGTCCTCTTAGAGGAAGGAATAACCAGAAAGTCTGGTCAAAAACGTTTTTTGAGAGGGAGGAAAGGGGGTTAAGGTTCAAAACACATTTTGCAATTAAATATGAATGGTTGGGAAAAGAGAAGAACAAAAAGTGGGATTGGGTGATAACCAAGTTCATTGCAAGGAGGGTTCAAGTTCCTTGAGTGAAAGTGTAAGGTTGGAAACTTTGAAGGGCAAGTTACAATCAGTGGTGAAAAGGCAAGAAGGTCCAAAGGAGGTAGAAGATCCTCAAGAAAGAGTTGTGACAGGGGAAAAGTTTTTGATGTTAGAGAAGCCTTTAGATCCTTTGATGGCTAAGGTAAGGAAAGGTGGTGTAGCAGTAGAAGGTGATCGGTTTTCATTAGCAAAAGAAGCTGCCAGTCAACAAATTAGTTCATGTGAAGGCTGGGAATTGGTAGGGCAAGTGGAATCAGCTGAGACATTAGGGGATTTGGTAAAGGTAGGCATTTTGGAAAACGATTACTGTGTCTATGAATTGGAAAATGTTTCATCTGCCCCTAAGAAGAGTAGTTGTGAGTTGGGTGGGGAAAAAGTGGGAGGCGTGAGGAATATGGACCATTATTTTTCTTGTGAGAAGGTAGATATAAGGGGCTCTGTTTTTGGTACAGAAGTATTTATCGGAAAGATAGGGGTGGACTTAGGAAGGAAGTGGAATACAAGTTCGTTGGTGGAACATAGAAAAGATGATCTTGACTCAAAGGACTCAAAAAAATCCAAAGCTTTAATGTTCGATTAGTTTACATTACCAAGGTCTTCATTTGATTGAAGGAGGGTTTGGTAGGGATTGGTCATTGCAGTAAACAGTAGAGTATCTACAAGAGAAGGGGGTCAAAAGCTAAAGGCAGATCTAGAAATCTGCAGTTACTTGCCTAAACATAGTAGCAGTTCGAACATTTTGGAAAAAGTAATGGACAAGAGGAACTTTGTAATCAGCTTTTGGAACTCAAAAAGAAGATGTTTTGTTAGTCGAAAAGGAGGTACAAGGGAATGAGATGGAAAGAGAGGAAGAATATGTAGAAGGGGAAGAGAATGATGAGGAGGGGATTATTGATTGGGTGAGAAAGATGGAAATATGGATTTGGAAAAATATAATGGAAACTGAAACTCAAGTGAGCAAGATTTTAGGTTTGTGCTTTTTTAGGAGGGGAAGATTTTGCAAGAATTTTTTTTTTTTGGGAATTGGAATAGAAAGATACATTGAACTAAGAAAGCTTTATTGGGGATTTCTGCTTAGAGAAAGATTGTGGGGTTTGGGGAGGGTTAAGAGGGTTTACCTCTCCCAAGTAGATACAAATTTCCCAGTGGCCAATGAATTATTGGGATTACCCTTCGGAGGAAACCCAAGAAATGTAACTTTCTGGAACCTGGTAGTGGACAGGTTTACAAAAGGATTAGCCTCTTGGAAAAGGAATTACCTCTCTTTAGGTGGAAGACTAACTTTGATCAAGTCAACTCTGACCAATTTTCTTGTCTACTTTCTTTGGGTTTTTAAGAGACCTGTGAGGATTTATAAAAGACTAGAGAAGTTAATGAAGGTTTTTTGTGGGAACCCAAGGAGGAAAGGAAGGACCATAGGTGTTAGATGGGAAGTGGTAAGTAGAAGTAGGGAGTTTGGTGGCTTAGGGATTGGGAACATCCAGGAGAGGAATATGGCATTGTTAGGGAAATAGTTGTGGAAATTACCAATGGACAAGGACAAACTGTGGACAAAGGTGATTATAAGCATCTATTGGCTGGTGGCGAATGGCTGGGATGTTGGAGTTTTGGCTCGAGCTACTAGAGAGGCGCCTTGGAAAGTTATCCATGCCATTCTTCCATACTTCATTCACTTTGTTAGGTATAATTTGTGTTCCGGGAATTTGGTAAGATTTTGGGAACATGTGAGGTTGGGGGATTCACCACTTCAAGATCAGTTTCCTTATCTATTTACTCTGTTCAGTTGCAAAAATGAGCTTGTTTCTACCTTCTTATCCTCTTCTGGTTTTGGCCTGAAATAGATTGTGACTTGGGGTTTAGGTAGGGTTTCAGAGACTCAAATGTGGACCATGTCTTTGCTTTGATCCAAACTCTCCAAAAGGGTTTTTTGGACCCCCTCTAAGTTGGAATCTTGAATTTGGACCCTATCTTCCTCTAGTTCCTTTACTTGTTCCTCCTTTTTCAAAGCTCTATTATAACCTTCCTCTAGTCCTAGGCATTCATTCCTTGTTAAAGAAGTATAGGGGAAATAGATCTCGCTAAAGGTTTGGGCACTCTACTTGGAAATCTTGGAAATATTCTTGGAAAGAATTAACACTTATGACCTACTTAAAAGAAAGAAGACTGCCTTAAAAGAATTAACACTTGTCTCCTAATTGAAAATATTCTTGTTACCACTTATTAATCTCCTACCCCTTTTTTTCTTCTACTTGGGTTTGGTTTCTTTCTCTGTTTGGTTATAGGTGGACTCCCCCACCAAGTCTACAAAGCCCCTTGACTCTTCTGCTGGTAACTAGACAACGAAGAGGGGAAGGATATTGTGGAGATTATCAAGAGCAATAGTTTGTTGGACAGTTTGGAAGGAAAGAAAGCAAAGAGTTTTTTTTCTGAAAAAAGAGAGAAGTAGAGGGGCAATCATAGAAGTTATCACTTCTAGGGTTGTTCATTGGGTAAAAATAGTGGAGATATTCAAGTACATTCATACAAAGCATTGTTGTCAAGGCAAAGCCTAGGCAACAAGGTTCCCTTGGAGGCTCGCCTCGCCTAATTGTCAAGCAGTTTTGCACATTGTGTTATTAAGTACTTTTACATTCTTAATTTTTTGAGATTATAATTATAAAATAGACATTATTAAACTAAAATATTCATTTTGTGTGTTTTTCTATTGGTTTCTTTTTATTATTTTCTTATTTTTTAGGGTTTAATCAACACAGACATTGCTAAATGCTGTATTGAACACTCGAACACTCAAAGACTTCAAAACCTGAACCATGAGGAAGAACTTAAAATTTTATCTAATCAACACATTTTCTTCTTCCTTCTTCCTCCACCTTTTCCTTTCTTACTTATTTTTCTTCTCATGAATATGTTGATTTTCTGTACTATAACATGAAGCTTATACTTTTTTATGAAAATTATGGATAATTATTAAGGAAATATGGTTATAGAACCTAGGGAACTACCCTAGGATATATATTTTTTACTTAAAAAATCCATAGCTTAGTTGATGCCTAGGTGCCCACCTAGGCGAGTTGGCAACAAGGCACCCCCTTGTTGCCTAGCCTCACCTTGGCGCCTTGAAAAGTATGATACAGAAAACACCTGGAAGTGGCAGCATCGGCTCCACACAGTGAAGGTAACCCTGGTCCATCAGGGATTCGTGGAGTTTTTAGGACGGAGGAAGGTTCAGTCATAGCTTTGTTCTCAGGCTCAATTGACACGGGGGACTCACTGCATGCAGAAATTGTGGCTTTGATTTTTTTTTTTTTTTAAGATCGATAGCAGAAACTTTTATTAAGAGGAATAGAAAACGAAAGTTACAACAGGGAGGGGTAAAATCACTTAACCCTCCTTAAAGTAAAAAACAAGTTAAGCAATGCTCAAAAGAGATTAGCTCTCTCCCCCCCCCTGTTTGGCCAAAGAATCTGCCATAGAATTAGCACTCTTCTCGGACCACTGAACCTGAATTTCCATGTTCTGAATTAGCTGGTTAATTTTCTTTTTCTCATTTAAGAACTTCCACAGACTGAAATCTTCCTTCTGCAGCCAACTAACAGCCAGCCTAGAGTCGCCTTCCACCAGCAGTTTTTTAATATTCAGCTGCTGGGCTCTTTTGATGCCCTTTCAAAACTGCCAAAATTTCAGCTCTCAGAGAATCCCCCCAACCTATAGGGCCTGAATGTTAACAGGCTGATCGTTGAAGGAGATTCTAAAGTGGTATTAGGTTGGTTAGGGAAGGAAGGTGATGGATTGTGGACATACATTAATGAATGAAGACACTTCAAGTGGCTAACTCAGGGTATGGAGGTGAAAGTGCAACGGGTAAAAAGATGTGCCAATTCATTTGCAGATCACTAACTAAACAATGGATGGGAAGGAATCAATTACTTTGGGCTACCTTGTAATGTTGTATCTACTTGGGGGAGAGTTAAGAGAGTTTACCTCCCCCAACCATTGTAATGACTATTTCTTTTTAATGAAATTTATTGTTATTGATCAAAAAAGTGCCCAAAACAAACCATCTCTTCCCACCCCTTGCTTAGCGCACGTGTATCAGCAAAGGAATTAGCACTTCTCTTCATCCCCTGCAGTTTTATTTCCATACCCTGGGCCAGCCATTTAAACTTCATTTTTTCACTAGCATAGTTCCAAAACCTGTTTTCCTCTTTATGCAGCTAGCTTATCACCAATTTTGAATCACCTTCAGTAATCAGCTTTCTAATGTTTAGCTCCTGTGCCCTTTTGCATGCCTTCCATTGCCACCATCTAAGTGAATCGCTTATTCCAATAGAACCTGACAATAAAGCAATAACTTTCCTTTCCTCATCCCTGAAAACTCCTATTTACCTGAAGGACCTGAGTTTCCTTTACTACTTCCATCAAAACTCAACTTAGTGAAACCATTAGTTGGTGGAGACCAAGGACTGATCACAGTTTTGAGGGGTGCTGAATTATCCACCTCCTTCCAATTTCTAATCAAAACGTTTCTATATATATCCTGAAATAATTCTGGAGACTTCACCCAATGTACCACACTACCACTCTAATAGTGATGACTTCAATGATAGCATCTCTGCTTCTTTCCTTTTTCAGAAAAAATCCTTAGGTTCCTTTCTTCCCAACTAGCACCAAAGACAACCCAGATGGCACACTCACCCTCCCAGAAACCCCCTTTTTTCGATTGATAACAAAAATTTTATTAATATAAAGACAGAATATACAAATTTACCAAGTAAAAAAGTGGATCATTATGTACATTCCTCCCCAAAACTTTTACATCCAGTCCCCCCTGACACCTATCCCCAAAATAATTCATTTCTATTTACTCCTTGCCTTGCTAAGCCATCAGAAATTCCATTAACTGATCTAGGAACACACTGGAATCCTAACAATTAGGAGTATCCTCATAAGAACAATATATCTGCCACATTGTTTTAAAAGTTAGACACCACAAGGCACCTATTTGGAGTCATGGTTTTCACAAAGCACCTATTTGGTATCTTCATTGTTTTAGAAATGAGCTATACCATTTTGGAGTTATGATTCTAACAGGGCAGCTATTTGGCATTAGCCTGTATTACTTGATATACGGTTTCCTACATAGCTACATTTTCCCCTACTGTCCGAAGCTATTCAAATCAATAATTCAGTCTCGACCTGCATTAAAATTAATATGCTGACCTTTTCTTCAAGATGTTGGTTGTTGTTTGACAGCTGCAGTGCTTTTATGTTATTTTTGCATGCATGTATTTGTCCTATAAAAATCTCATTGTTAGATTTCAAATTTCTATGAACTATTTGGTGCTAATATTTCATATAGTTTGACAACTCATTTATAGTATATCATTACTTTAGTAGGTAGTATTGATTGTTCTACTTTACACTTTTGTATTTTTTATTTATTCAAAAAATTCAGGATTACAAGATTCACCGAGATGAAATACACACAAAGCTGGTACAGATAATGAGAGAAAGGTTAATGGTACATATTCGTGGGTTGCCACAAATTGTTGAGAGCTGGAATAGACCAGATGACAGTGATTTACAGCCTAGTAACTTTGCTCGATCCCTTACCAAGGTGTGTTGCTTTTCAATATACTTAGATATTTTATTAATGATGCTTCTTGTTACTGATTTGTATCAAAGGCCAAGCATTGCATTTAGATGCTTTAGTAGTGAACCATTACTCGTTTCTTATTTTTCCTTTCTTTTTCATTTTAATATATTGTTTTGATTTTAACCACTAATTTGGGCATCATGCTGCAATATGTTATCAATTTTTGTATATTAATTTCTGTAGTTAGGAAAATCCTATGTTTTTTGTAGCTAGAATATTATGCCATAGCCCTAGAGGCCTTGTATAATTGGCACCCCTAGTGACATCTGTATGTTGTCATAGAACTTAAACAATTATGCAACTTGGTTCAGTAGTATAAGTCTTTTGTATAGCTATATAAACCTCATATGGTTAGTATAGATCTTGTAAAGTTTTGCTTTGAGGGAAGCACTTCCTCCTTAATACAATATCAGTTGCGTTTCAAAAGAAATAGTACCAGTTTACAGAGATTGGTTACAACTGCCAACTACCTTACTACCACTCTCTGCCTTCATGTGCTAAGCTGATTCTTATAAAGTTCCTTCCCCCTAAAATCATATCGAGAGTAGGAAAACCACATATGCATTTATGTACTCTCTTATTTTAAAACTCCCTTCTGCCTTCATGTGCTGTTGCACATAAATGCAACAGAAAATGTTTTTGAAACCTAGCTTAGTATATCAGATACACATCTGATTTCTCTGCTATTAAGTAAAAGCTTATTGTAGAAAGGAACTGCACAAAGAAGGAACAAAAAGTTTAACTGAAAGAGGACAAGGAGCAAGGGAAAGAGGACAAGAGGGTAAAGAGGAGAGATTCATAAAAAAGGAGGGAGGGATGGGGAATCTTCTAGTGATGACTTGGTGGTAAACTTTTTTGGAAAGCTTGGTTGTAAATTGAAGGACCCAAATGAACTAAAAGCCTCTCTAAAAACTAAGGAGGATCCTAAAGTGAGGAAAGGAAATTGAGTGAAGTGGAAAGATGATAAAGGGGAATACATAAATCATTAGCAGAACGGTCCTAAGAATTAGGTTAAATGAAGTTGCTGAGTTGGAATGTAAAAGGGTTGAGAAGCACCAAAAAGAGAGAATTAATCAAAGAAGTGATCAGGATGTTGAAACCAGATGTGGTATTGTTGCAGGAATCCAAAAGACCAGAGTTTGATAGAAGATGGGCAAGGAGTCTTTGGAAGGCTAGGGGAATAAAATGGGCAATGACACTCATGGGGTTCCTCTGGGGTATAGTGACTGGAACAGTGAGGTGAAGTGGGGTTGGAAGAATCGGTAGGTAAATTTTCAATAATAAATTTACTTGGCCCAATGTCCATTCGAACCCGATTTGTCCCAGATTAGATAGGGTTTTGTTCACATTGGATTGGGAGGAGCATTGTGGAGGCTTGTGATCTAGGACTCTCCCAAGGGTCATGTCTGTAAGAAAGAATTAAGGAATGCAAGGCCATCACCATTCAGATTTGAAAATATGTGATTGTGTTATCCAAGGTTAATTAAGAGGGTGAAAGATTGATGGGAGGCTAGAAACAAGGATGCTGGAAAGGAATGAAATTTCATAAGAAGAATCTAAAAGGAAAAAAAAAATAAAAGTTTGGAATGAGATGGATTTTGGGAAGCTAGAAACAAGGATGCAAAATGTGATTCCAAAAATTGAGGAGTTAGACCTGAAAGAAGAAAGGGGTCTTCTTGAGGAAGGAGATAAAGAACAAAGATGGACCTTGAGAAAACAACCGGAAGACTTATTGTATGAGGAAGGGATAAGTTGGAGGCAAAAATTAGGGTGCAAGTGGTTAAAGGAGGGGGATAAAAACACGATGTTTTTTTTCATATTGTGGCAAATGGAAGGGGGAAAACTTTCATCTCCAAATTAGTAATTAAGGGTCTAGTATTACCCAACAAGATGGTATTGTTGAGGGTTTTGTAGATCATTTTAAAAATCTTTGGTTTAGAAGGCCACTGAATGGTGGGGTTTAGGTAGACGGATTAGAGTGGCCAAGATTAGAGTTAGGGCTTAGTGTTTGGTTGGAGAGGAAATTTGAACTAGAGGAAATAAAAGAAGCGGTGTTCTCAATGGACAAAGCAAAAGCTCCTGGACTGAATGGATTCACAATGGCTTTTTACCAGGATTGATGGGACATTCTAAAAGAGGATATTCTTTGGTCTTTGATGAGTTTCATAGAAGGGGAATAATTAATCTAGGGCTGAACTCCACTTCTATAGCCTTGACCCCAAAGAAAGTTGATGCCTCCCACCCAAGAGATTTTAGACCGATCAACCTAGTGAATAGCCTATATAAGGTTATAGCTAAGGTGTTTTCCTTGAGGATAAGGCAAGTACTCCCCACAATCATTGCACCTCACCAAGGGGCCTTCGTCTAAGGGAGGCAAATAGCGGATCAACTCTTAATAGAAAATCAATGTGTGGAGGATATGAAGAGGGCAGGGAGAAAAGGAGTGGTGTGCAATCTATAGAAAGCCTATGATTTGGTGGACTGGTCTTTTTGAGTTGGGCCCATGCTCTTAACTCGAAGTCTAGTTTTGACAAATAGAGAGATTGGCCCAATAGTTTGAAGATTTTCAAAGGAAGACACTCCAAATTCAAGCCCTTTAAGTGCAAGAAGCAAGTAAGAAAATCTTTGTCTCGTCAAATTAGAATGAAAGAAACTTGGGTTTGGCTGGTGGCCAGATTTGATAGCGACAAGAAGAGCAACGATTTGAAGGGTGAAGTAACACAAGATGGATGCAAGGGGTGTCAATCTGTTGGCTATCATGAGAACAAGGATGAGCCAGGGGCATAGGGCGATAGGAGCTTGAAGAGGGAGAAGGTGGAGCTCTGTCAGCAGGTGGGTAAAGTGATTTATTTTGTGTCTTTTGTTGTTGAAACTATTCCTATTAGGTTGCAGAAGGGGAGGGTCAAATACGTCTAAGCAGGGTGATGTGAGGATTGAGCTAGAGGAGGAGGGAAAGGAAGATAAGGAAGCAGATCCGGGGGAAGGAGTAGAGGCAAGTGACAAGGGAATGGGGGGATAAAAAAGGGGGGATAGTAGGTGAGAAACTTGGTGAGGGTGAAGTCAATAGTAAGGAGGCAATTTGCTCTAAGGAGGAGATTGAAAAAGAAAGGAAGGATGGATTCTCTAAAGGAGGTGAAAAATACTCAATTTTTGAAGTCACAGTTGGCAAGCTTGGAATTGATTTAGGCCGAAGAAGAAAAACAGAGAGTAAGGAAGGTGTGGTTGTTATTTCAAAGACAGTTAAGATAGCAAGAGACTCGTAAGTCTCATATTGTTGATGTATTGGAACAAAAACCAAATGTTTGAAGAAGGTGCAAGGAAAAGAATTTCATGATTCAGTTTGGGAGATGGTGTAGATGTTGGTTTCTCATTGGGATGGTTTAGAAAGGCAGCTTGGGTCAGATGATAAGCAGAAGGAGGGCACCCAAGACTTAGAGAGGAACTCTAAGAAGTATCTATCAGCTTGTGAGGACAAGGAATGTAGAGTGAGGATTGAGGATTTGGTGGATAGGAGCAAGGTTTAAAATGTCGATGTCGATGGAAATGTTGCTTACCAAAATATAGGACATATGTTGGAAATGTCAAGGGGAAATATTGTAAAAATTAGAGACATTGTGGAAATATTATRAAATATGTGGAAATATGCAATGATATTTTGTAAAATGATAAAAGAAGCATTAATACATATTTCTAGACTACTATCTTATTCCCAACCATTATATAAAGCTAAGAAACTAAGATCAATAACAAATTAGTGAATGATGATTTACTGAATTATTATGCATTTTGATGTTTTTACAAGGTTATCCGATATTTTCTTTTCTTATTTTTAATTTTGATTTGTTATAAATTCTAATGTATTTATTTCACACTAGTAAATATAAATACATTTATTCTGATTTTTTAAATATTAAAGTTATAATACATTATGTTTTATTATAAATTTAATAAACTAATTCTCCTTTTTGTAGTATTAAGATTATGATAAATTCTGATTTCTTATAAAACTTAATGAATTTATTATGACTTTTAATACTAAATTTATAATATGATTTATTATAAAATTTAATAAACATTTTCTGATTTTAATAAATATTTTAAAATACTAACTAGTTAATATTTTATTACTTGAAAAATATTTTATGTTTTATATTATAAAGTAATTAATTTATTCTTTTGTTTTTATTTTTTTGTTAATTCTTTTTATAAATATTTTATTTGAAATATTAAATAGAAATTATTAATGTTATAATTTATATTAATATATTATATTATTAATGTACGTTAGACGAGATCCTGTCGACATAATAGGAAAAACTGTTTTTTTTTTTTTTTTTTTTTTTGTTATTTGGACCGATTTGGTCGACATTTCCGAAATATAGGAAATGTCGACCGAAATAATGTAATTTTTATATTGCCATCCATTTTCATGTCGGTGATCCTCAACATCAACATATGTCGGGTGACATTAGCGAAATGTTGCAACATTTGAAACCATGGATAGGAGTGTTAAAAATGGCAGGAGCTTAGGATTATTCTTTTGGGGTGGAAAGGATTTTGCTAGAAGAGCCTTTGAAGTATTTGGAAGAAGTAAAAAGGAAGAGAGGTTGAAGAATTCTGTATAAGGGGAAGGAGGTGAGGCATGGAATGAGGAGGGTGATGGGAATGAAGAACTATACAAAGGAGATGATTAAGGAAGATATAATTCCGGAAGGCTGCATTATTTTCTGCTTTGTGTATGGCTATTGGATGTTGCTTGTTATTTTTGTATGTTTTGGTGTCACCTTAACGCCTTGTTTCAGCTATACTCTGCTTTCCTTTTTCTTTAATAAATTTTATTGTTATTCTTCAAAAAGAATGGTTAACTTTGGGTTTGGAGAAAAATGATGTAAATGGGTAATGGGCTATGTTAGGAATGTTCAATATTCAATTTTAATAAATGGAATAGTGGTGGACTTTTTCCTGGCTTTAAGAGGTATTAGGCAAGGGGACCCCCTCGCTCCCTTTTTGTTCACCTTAGTAGCAGATATCCTGGGAAGGTTGATATCTAGAGCAGACTCAAGGAATCTAATAAGAGTTTGGAAAATTGGCAATCAAGGGGTATTGATCACTCATTTACAATTTGCAAATGATAAAATTCTTTTTTGTGAAGGGGGCGATTTGAGGTGGATTAGGATTCTGAAACTTGCCACACAATTGTTAGAGCAGATGTCCAATCTGTAGGTGTAACCTTGAGAAAAGTTCTGTTGTGCGAATTAATATGGAGGTGGAGAAAAGGAAGTATGCTTCTATTTTGGGTTGTATGGTTTCATCTTGGCCCCTAAAGTACTTGGGATTACCTTTAGGAGATAACCCTATGAAAGAAAATTTCTGGACTTCAGTGATAGAGATTCAAGAAGAGACTTGCATTGTGGAAGAAAAACTACCTTTCTTTGGAAGGGAGAATTACCTTAATTAGATCCATTTTAGCCAACTTGTAGGTGTACTATTTGACAATTTTCAAAGTTCCAGATGGGGTAGCAAGGAAGTTTGAGGAAATAATGAGGGATTTTCTTTAGGAACCAAGGGAGAAAAGGAAGGAGCATAGGGTTAGATGTGAAGTGGTGAGCAGAAGTAGAAAGTTTGGAGGGCCTAGCAAGGAAGTTTGAGAAAATAATGAGGGATTTTCTTTAGGAACCAAGGGAGAAAAGGAAGGAGCATAGGGTTAGATGTGAAGTGGTGAGCAGAAGTAGAAAGTTTGGAGGGCCTAGCAAGGAAGTTTGAGAAAATAATGAGGGATTTTCTTTAGGAACCAAGGGAGAAAAGGAAGGAGCATAGGATTAGATGTGAAGTGGTGAGCAGAAGTAGAAAGTTTGGAGGGCCTAGTATTGGAAATGCTCAAAAAAGAAACTTGGCATTGCTGGGGAAATGATTGTGGAGATTACCTGTAGAGGAAAAGTTGTGGGTCAAAATGGTGGTAAGCATCGACGGGCTCACGGATAATGGATGGGATACTAGAATTCAAGCTAGGTCCACCAAATCTTCCCCTTGGAAATCCATTAAAGCTATTCTTCCTTTGTTCTTGCATTGAATCAGGTATGATATAAATTCTAGTAATCAAATTGAATTTTGGGAACAGGATTGGGTTGGGGAGTCTTCTTTGAGGGATCAATTTCCTTCTTTGTTTGCCATGTCAAACTACAAGAATGAACCTATAAACAACTTTTTGGTGCCTTCTAACTCCAATTTTGACTTTGGTTGGGATTTAGGTTTCAAAAGGGCTTTTAGGAATTTGGACTCTCTTTCCCTCTGGGTTGTTTACCTGTGCTTCCTTCTTCAAGTCCTTAACTCAGCCGGAAGATATTGAGGGCTTGTCTTTTCCTATTAAAGAGGTTTGGGGAACACCTGCCCCAACAAGGGTTATGAGCTTTTGTTGGGAGGCCTTGGTGGAAAGAATCAACACGTGATTTGCTTCAAAGAAAAAGACCTAATAGCTGTTTGTCCCCTAACTGGTGTATTCTTTCCAAGGCAATTGGTGAGAATTGCTACCACTAATTAATCTCGTGCAATTTTGTGAAAGGGATTTAGGAATGGTTCTTGTCTTTGTTTGGGTGCAGGTGGACTCCACCACCGAATGTGCAAAGCCTGTTTGCCTCTACTTTCTTCAGCTGGCCAAAGAAGAGGTGCAAAATAATGTGGAGATGTGTAAGGGCTGCTATCAGTTGGAGTATATGGGAGGAAAGGAATTCAAGAATCCTCTCAGAAAAGGAGAGAAGTGATTGTTTCAAGATTTCACAATGGAAGATTTTTTAAACCAGAGAACAATTGCCAACTCTGGCCAGGATAAGGAGACATCAACTATGTCTTGGACCCCTCCCCCAATTGGCTTTTACAAGCTGGATTTTGATGGTAGCAGTATTGGTTATCCAGGGCCCTCAGGCATTGGGGTGATTAGGGATGAGGAAGGCAAAGTAATAGACCTTTTCTGAGGGCCAATTGTTGTCGGTGACTCTGTTAGGGCTGAGATTATGGCAATCTTGGAAGGGGTACAACAGAATGGGTTGTAGATTTATAGCAACAAAATGAAAAAATTCAAGTGGCTGGCACAGGGCATTGAGATTAAAATTGAGTGGGTCAAAAGAAGTGCCAACTCCTTTGCTGATGGATTGGCAAAACAAGGGATGAATAGGGCAGGTCTGTTTTGGGCTCATATGTAATTGCCATGGTTTGATTTCTGTTTCTCTGTGGGGGAGTTAAGAAAGATTAGCTCTCCCCGCTTGTATCTTTTTCTTAATTTTAATGAAATCTGTTTGTTATTGATAAAAGAAAAAGTTCTGTCTAATTTTTTTACTTGATTAGTTGAATCTGATTGGCTATTTGATTTTTTATTCATCTCCAGGAAGTTGGCTACCTTCAACGTGTCTTATCTCGAACTTTACATGAATTAGATGTTAAAGCTATTTTCAGGTGAGTCATTGTGTTGTTAAATATTCAACAAGATATACTGTGGTTTGCACATTCCATCTTCTCCTTCACTTATTTACATTGATTATTCATTGAACCTTGTTAGAAGCCCATCTACTTGCACTAATTTGTAATAAATGTTTCTATGCCCCACCTCTTTCATGTAGGGTGTACGTTGTAAAGGGAAGGCTTCTTTAATGCATTTCAGGGGTTTTACTTTCCTTTTATGGCATTGTACTTCATCATGTACACACATGCATGTTGTTTTCCAAGTTGGCATGAATATCATGTTATGTTGACATGGAAAAATTCTGACACCATGGATACACTTGTCCCATACAATTTTTTAAGCCACTTTGTCAGAAACCTCATATCCATGTTGTAATGTTGTGAGAATCATCTTGCAAGTGAAATGACATGCTGGTCATCAGAGTGGGCTGTAAACTGATTGGCAAAGTCCATGCAGTTTTCCAAGTTGTTATGGATATCATATTATGATAACATGGAAAATTCTGACACCTGGAAACACTTGTCCCATATAATCTTTTAAAGTCACTTTGACAAAGTTATTAAGGATCAGTATAAAAGCTTTGACCTTTACTTGCTAGTGGGCATTACTGTTTAATGAAGAAGAAGAACACTGAGATGCTAATATTATTATGCTTCTGATTTTGGTGTTTATTCAGTAAGCGACAACCTTATCCAGACAGTTGAGGGTCTTCTAAGTTCTAACTTCTAACCTGTTCCATTTTTTTAATCAATAACTGCAGCTTTTCATTAATGTTAGAAAGAAAAAAAAAAGGAGTACTAAAAAGTCAGTGAGAGATAAACCCTCTTATCTCTCCCCTCAATGTTGTGTCGTTTCTGCTGTTGTTTAAAAGTTGCCATAGCATTGAATAATTAAAGGGCAAATTACTTATAAGTTGTAATTTGAGGTTAAGTTACTTGTTCTGCCTCTCCATAAACTTGCTGTCAGTTTTTCTGGTAGAAAGTTCTCACTTGGCATTTAAAACTTTTTAAAGGTCTATTTCACCCTTTTTGGCACCTTGTTATGTTATATGGACTAAAATACTCTTTTATATTTCTTGATGGGCCATTACTTTCTATAATGGTAAAATCTATGGCTGGCAAATGTGAAAACACAGGTCCAAGTCTGAGAGTGTCCACCTTGTGTAAAAAATGCCCAAGGTTAGAACAGTATCTAGTCTACCCCTCCGAAGACCCCAGAGCCCACATAACTGACACCAACATTGTGTAGTGGCCTTTTTTATATTTTTTAAATGTTAATATGGAAATAGAAAGCCAAAAACAGGTTTGAATTGTTGTTAGTGCTTTATTTTTATTTTTTATTATTAGAGTGTGCCACAGGGGCATTTGTGTAATTTACTTTTATTGTTATGCTGTCACATACCTCTAAAGAATAATGGGGGTGCCACCAGCCCATTTTTTTGGCTCTTCAAACTTTCTGTTCTCCTCTTCTCTCTCCCTTTATCTACTGTTCTCTTCTCTCTCTTTACTGGTTCTAAGTGAAAACATGGTATCAGAGTGCTGACTTGGGTGGGGATTGAGCTGTTTTCTCCTTGGAACATTTTCTTTTTGGACTGTGAGAGAAGAAAACCCTCATCGGACTGACCTAAGCAACTGTTCCTTTGTTTTGCCCTTTTTTATTGGTTGTAGCCTCATTGTACCAAGATCAGTGATTCTTTGTGACAGTCGATTCTGTGAGGGAGTTTTGCCTCAAGGCATGTGCCTTGTTTATGGTGCTGTAATGGATTGTGGGGTCCTTTTCCAGCAAGTACTTGTTGTACACCACACCATTACCACATGTTTTCTGTGGGTTGGTGTTGATTAGAGGTTGATTTGTTGGGGTTGTGTAGCCAATGTGTTCAAAGTTGCAACAGTTTTTTCAGTTTGGCTACAGTTTCAAACTCAAATTCTTGATCGGGTGTTGATGGAAAATCAGGTCTGTGCTTCTTTCTGTGACTGTTAGTGTGGGTAACCTCTGTAATGGAAGCTGATGATTCAGCTTCTTTCTGAGTTATTTCTTCTCAAAGAACTTCCAGTGTGGGGGTAGACAGTATGAGTTTTCCTATGCCTATTACTCCCTTGAATGGGATGAACTATCTAGAATGGTCAAAGGGTATTAAACTCTATGTTACAGCCAGGGGAAAGCTGGTTATATCAATGGTCAAGTGAAAGAACCCAATCTGTGCTTCTTTCTGTGACTTTTAGTACAGGTAACCTCTGTAATGGAAGCTGATGATTCAGCTTCTTTCTGAGTTACTTCTTCTCAAAGAACTTCCAGTTTGGGGGTAGACAGCATGAGTTTTCCTATGCCTATTACTCCCTTGAATGGGATGAACTATCTAGAATGGTCTAAGGGTATTAAACTCTATGTTACAGCCAGAGGAAAGCGGGTTATATCAATGGTAAAGTGAAAGAACCCAAGTCAGGGACTACTGAACACGATAGATGGAACCAAGAGAATAGTATGGTTATGTCCTGGCACATTGTTGCTATGGAACCAGAGGTGAGGAAGAATTTCATGTGGGTTGATATGGGAGCATGCAAAATTGACCTATTCAGAGCAAAGGCATTACACATAGATTTATTTATCAGTTACACGCTGAATCCTCCACCTGTAAGCAGGGTGATTGTAACTTGTCTGCTTAATATTAAACCCTACCTCAGTCTAGATGGAGTTAGACCATTACCAGACTATTAAATGGAAGAATGATGATGATGCAAAGGCAAATCCTGTGTATGAGCCTCTTCGTGTTCAGATTTTGGGCAACAATGATCTTCCTTCAATCCAGGAGGTATATGCCATTATGCAATCTGAAGAAGTAAACTGAGTGTGATGGTTACAGCTGAGCGGGACAACTGATTGCCCTAGCATCAAAAAGTGTTAATAATGGTACAAAGAAAGGTCATTGTAAGAGGAATGAGGACAAGGACAAATTGTGGTGCATCCATTGTTGTCGCCTCAAACACACGAGAAACCTGTTGGGATCTTGTTGGGAAGCCCAAGTGGGCAACCAAGAACCAAGAATTGAAAAAAAAAAGGGCAAAGATAGAAGTATAGTGCAGAAAATGTGGTGGCTAATGATTCTCAAGGTGGGAGTGTAAGTACTGGTACCACTCAGGAGCATCAATCTAGTTCTGACCCTAAGGAGGAACTCATTTACTCTTTTTGTGATCACTTGGAATCTTATAGTAGGGAACGGTGTCAAATGGATAGTACAGTTGGTATTCCCTCCACTTCATTTGCGTCTACAGCAAATAGTGCAGCCTCTGCTTTCCATTTATCCACTCTTGCCCCTGACTCTCCTTAATTTGACTCAAGGGCTTCCAATCACATGACTGGTAAGTCAAGTTTATTTCAGTCCTATAGCCTCTTGTCTGGGAGGGATAAAGTGAGACTTGTAAATGGTTCATTCTCTTCCATTGCAAGTCAGGGATCAATAACCCTTCCCCATTGCCTAACCCTCTCTAATGTGTTGCATATTCCTAAACATCCTCAACTTTCTTTCCATTAGCACGCTCACTTCTTAAATTGTAGTGTAATTTTCTTCCCTCATTCTTGTGTTTTTCAAGACCTACATCTAGGAAGATGATTGGTAGAGGAAGCATGGTGAATGACCTTTACATTCTTGAGGATAAAGCTAGTTTCTTGGCATTTGCATCAGGGTTAAGTAGTTAACTGAGTCAAGTGTTTTTGTGGCATAATCACATAGATCATGCATAGTTGTCAAGGTGACACTTAGGCGGGCACCTAGGCGACTAGGCAGTTTTCTATGGTCGCCTCGCCTAAACGCCCCGGATTTTGTATACTAGGCACCTGCCTAGAGACTTAAGCGGACGCCTAGGCGACTAGGCAGGTGCCTACATACATCTAATATTTTTTTAATTTATTTTTCTGATATTTTATTAGATGTTTTATTATTTTAAAATAAAATCGGTTACGTGCTATCATTTTATTATTAAGACAACAATACAAAGCCTTTTTCTTTTATTTATGCATAACATAAGGGTTTTTCGGTTCGATTGGAGAGGGAGGAGAACCGAAGACTTCATGCCCCAGCCCAACTCCATCGCACCTCAGCTTCAGCAGGTAAGTTCTTCCAGCCCAGCTTCAGTCTTTTTTTGCTTTTTTTAAGAAAAAACAGGGGCTCCACCCCTATACTCCTCCCTTCCTCCACAGCTCCACTCATTCTTCCACCCCTGATTGTTCTGTCACTAGTCCTAGATATCAGTGCCTTTTTTTTTTTTTTTGAAAAAAACAGGGGCTCCACCCCTATACTCCTTTCCGCCCCTGACTGTTCTCAGTCGATAGTCTCAGTCCCTTTTTTTTGAAAAAACAAGGACCTATAATTCTCCCAGCCCCTAATCCCCTATACTTCTTCTTCTTCCGCCCCTATACTCCTCTCCTCCCTTCCTAGTTCCTGCATTTGTTTTTCCAGATAATAGTTAGTGTGCATGCCTGCTAGTTAGTGTATAGTTAGCGTACATGCTTGCTAGTTATATGAAATTTATAATCATTTGAATGATTTATAGAGTTAATAGTTAGTGTACATGCTTGCTAGTTAGCACACAAAACCAATAAAATAGCTTAGAAAAGCATAGATAAAGTAAAAACTCAAGAAAATTAACATTTTAAAATCCCAACACCTAGGCGCCTAGGCACCTGGGCACCCTGTAGTCGCCTAGCCTCACCTTGGCGCCTTGAAAACTATGAGGTCATGTTTCCTTTGAGTTGCTAAAGTATTTGTTTCCTAGTTTTTTTAAGTCTTGTTCAATGTCCAATTTCCAAAGCTAAGCAAACATTATAGAAATTCCTTTTCTTCAAGTAATAAAAGATCAGATTTTCCCTTTCATATTGTGCATTCGGAATTCCTACCACTATACCCTTTGAGGGCGGCTACAAATGCTTTATTAGTTTGGTTGATGATTTTCTACTACAATTGAAATTTTCTATGTGGACTAGAGATGAAGTTCCAAAAAATTGTAAAAGATTTTCAAAAAATGGTGTTTACCCAATTTCACGTGGAGGTTCATATATTCCAAGTAGATAAGCAAAGAATATTTCCATGGCAACCTAAATAAACTTTTTGCATTCCATGGATCCCTTCACAGTAGCTCTTGTGCAAAAACACCACAACAAAATGGTGTTACAAAAAGAAAGAACTAGCATCTCCTTGAAGTAGCACATGGCATTTTGTTGCACATGAATGTAAACGTTTATGGATGGATGTTATGTTTGTTGGTACTTATGTAATCAACCATATGCCCTCCAGAGTGTTGAACTACAAGGCCCCCCATCAACTCCTATTCCCAGTCTCATTTGTTCTCCATTCCTATGAGTCTTTAGGTGTTGGTCCTTCGTTCATGATTTGTCCTCTTCTCGTAGTAAGTTGAATCCCAAGTCTATTCCTTGTACCTTCTTTGGTATGCCTCTCTACTCAGAAGGGTTATAAGTTCTTTTACCTAGTTACTTGTAAGTACTTTGTTTCTATGGATATTTCCTTTTTCGAGTTTGAGCCATTTTATCTCGTATTTTCCTCAGGGAAGAGTTGTGTGGGGGAGAAGTTCATCAGGTTCATTTTCTGTCCATCCTAGATCGTGCACCTTTCTATGTCTTTCTATGTAAGCACTATAGAGATCATCAGAGTTGTAAGGATGTGGAGCTCCCAAATATTGTGCAACTGACACCATGGACTCCCTGAGATAAGCTCTCAACTACTCTCATCCCCATTGATTCTTTTGTTCCTATTTCTATTGGCAACCATGTAGATGACCTTGATATCTCTATTGCTCATAGAAAGGGTGCTAGGTCATGCACTACTAAACACTCCATAACCCATTGTTTTCTATGATCATGTTTCTTCCTTATTGTGCCTTCCTGTATGTCATTGATAGTATGCTATGAAGGAAGAACTTAATGCCCTCCATAAAAATAATACATGGGATGGCTGACAATTAGGAGTTCAACATCTGGTAGTTGAAGGAGACTCAAATTGTTGTGGGATGGCTGACAGATCCAACTTCAGCCATGTGGCGACACAAAGATTTATTAAGGAAAGTCAACTGGTTTACAAGAAATATGACAGTTACCTTTTGTTGGGAGGGAAGATCAGCAAACACCTTGGCGAATGGATTAGCTAAGCAGGGGGCTACTAGGGAACATTTATTTTGGGCTGCTTTGTAATTGTATTTATGACTAATTCTGTTTTTTATTTGATGTAATACTGCCCTGAAGAGGTAACAGCACGTGCCTCTTTTGAGTTCCCTGTACTGCCTTTTCTGAATTAATAAATTATATTCATTCATCAAAAAATAAAAAATAATACATGGGAGCTAGTGGATCTTCCAAAAGGGAAAGAGTATAAATGGGTGTTTTCAATGAAACATAAGGTGAGCGAGACAGTAGAAAGATATAAGGCAAGGTTCGTGGTGAAAGGCTACACCCAAATACATGGCATTGATTATGTGGAGATTTTCGCCCTGATAGCAAAGATGAATTCCATCCGTGTTCTTTTGTCTCTAGCTACTAACTTTGATGGGAGTTGCATCAACTTGATATTAAAAATGCTTTCCTAAATGGTGACCTGGAAGAAGTGTATATGGTTCAGCCACCCAGTTTAAATGCCAAAGGCAATTAAGACAAGGTGTATAGACTGAAGAAGTCTCTGTATGGGTTGAAACAATTCCTTAGACCTCATTTAGTAGGTTCCATACGGCGTTCAGTAGATCGGTTTCAAACAATGCCAGTCTGATCATACCCTCTTTGTTAAGAGGGATTAGGGAAAGGTTATAATGCTGATAGTTTATGTAGATGACATTATCATCATAGGTGATTGGAGCTCTGAAAAACAAAATTTGGAGTTTTTGGCTACCCAAATAAAAGTTAAAGATCTAAGACCCCTATGGTATTTCCTTGGGATCGAGGTTACCCGTTCTCGAAAAGGTACCTTTGTTTCTCAAAGGAAGTGGATCCTAAATCTCTTGCAAAACACAAGAAAACTAGGTGAAACCAGCCAATACTTCTATTAATGTGAATCAAAAATTGGGTGATTGTGATGGAGAACCTTTGAAAGATGTGAAACAATTATGGAGGTTGGTGGATCAATGACACATACTGATATTTCCTATGTTGTGGGGGTCTTGAGTTAGTTTATTCATTCCCCTAAAGTACCACACTTGGAAACTACAGAGAGTGTCCTTAGGTACTTGAAGTTTCCAGTGATTGGGTTGTTGTTAAAAAACATGGTTACCTGAAAGTGGAGGTTTATACAGATGCAAACTGGGCAGGTGCGGTGGATGACAGAAAATCCACAAGTGAGTATTACACCTTCGTAGGTAACAACCCAGTGACTGCGAGGAAAAAGAAGCAAGGTGTAGTTGCAAGGTTGAGTGCTGAGGCAGAACATAGAGCTATGGCACATGAGATTGCAGAAGTGCTTTGGATTAAGAACTTGTGGGGGAGCTGGACTTTAACATTGACAGCCCAATGTCTCTTTACTGTGACAACAAGGCAGCCATAAACATTACATCTAAATCCCATACTCAATGACAGGACAAAACATATTAAGGGGGAATACTGTTAGTGCATGATTGATATATACAGCCCAACCTGAGGGGGAATGTTGTTAGTGCATTATCTTTATTTTTTATTATTAGAGTGTGCCAGAGGAGCACTAATGTAATTTCCTTTCTTTTTATTGATATTGCTGTCATACCTATAAATAATAATGGAGGTGCCACCAGGCCAAGTTTTTGTCTCTCTAAACTTTCTCCTCTCTTCTCTCTCCCTTCTCACCTCTTCTCCTTCTCTTCTCTCTCTCTTTACTGGTTCTAAGTGAAAACATAAATAATATAGATATTTGAGATAGTGTAACTGTAAATGAGACTGCCGTTATCAATCTCTCTATCTAAGGGATGTTTTGCTAAAAACTTTTCTACCCAGTGTTGCATGGACATGGACACAGGGGTCAGAATAAGATGCATGTCCAAGAGTTTGACTTGGCAAGATGAGAAAACATGGACTTGCGGAACCTCTATGGAAAAGTATTCCTATTTTTTATGTTATGTAGAAGTGCCCTCAAGAATCTGTGAACTCTCTGACTCAGATGTGTGTCTGACAATTCATTCTCCATTTAGGAGAGTCCTTGCAACATGTTTTCTATCTTAATCATTGTTGCATAGACACAAACACAGGATGCATGTCCAAGAGTCTGACTTGACAAGATAAGAAACATGGACACAGACATATTATGGAAAAGTATAATATTTCATACTTTTTGAATTCTCACTTTATATATCTGCAAAAAGGGGTCTAAAATGTTGGCTTGGTGACCAAGTAATTTTTTATATGAAAAATGGCATTCATCTTGTACATTAGCTATTTGTTATATCAAGTAGGAGATGAAAAGGAAATGTTATGTAAAGTGTCCTTGAGAATCTGCGGAGTGTCCAATTCAAGTGCATGTTCAATATGGGCACATCATTCTTTTAGGAAAGTCCATGCAACAATAGTCTTATTTCTGTTTCTTATGCTAACAAACATCCCTGTCAAATCATGGTCAAAGAGGGTATAAATTATTAGGTAAACCTGAGAATGGCATAAATATTTGACTGAAACCCCAGGGGAGGATTAAGTAATTCACCCTAATTTAAAATACTGATAAAAAGCATTGAATAGTTAAGAAAAGAACAAAACAGAATTTGTCTATTGAATTTAGTTATTTCATCCTTCATGTTATGTACTAAGTTTGTACTTTTTCCAGGCAAGTTGTTCAAATCTTCCATTTACAAATTTCCGAAGCATTTTCACATTTGGAGGTTAGCACACCCCAAGCAAAGCAAAGGTACAATTCTCAGCCAGCATATCTGGCGCTTAGTTATTAAATATTCTTCTCTTTCCTAGGCCTCCGCTTTTACTGAAATGACAGTATCTCTATGCTAGATTGTATCGTGACGTACAACACATACTTGGATGCATTCACTCTTTGCCTTCCGATACGTCAAGTCAAGATGGTGTGCCAAACTTTGGGAAACTTGATGAATTCTTGGTGCAAAGATTTGGGACTGAAGCCCCTCAATGAATGCCTATGTAAAGTAGCAAACAATCCATCTGTTTGAAGACTAACGTAAGTTGAAGGGAACATTTTCAGCACATCCAATCATTGGAGATTTTCAATGATTCACTTGCCTTGTACAACCGAACCAAGGTAATGGCATAATACAAACAATGCTCTAAAATTTTCAATATTTCTGAACTGTCAACTGTATTCAGTAGGATCATTATTTTTTTAATGGATAACTGTATTCAGTAGGATCATTCTATTAATTTGTGGAAAAGAATAGTGGATATTTACAATATGGGCTGTGTTAAATCACCCCATGGTTACATAGGGGAGCTAAACTCTCTACCCCTCTTACCCCCCTGTTCTTGATTAGAATACAAAGTTCTAATGTTCCCTGTTGGTGAGTCCCCAAAACATTTGATCCCTATTGCCCTTTGTCTTGTTAGTGTGTCTACCATGCCATTTTGGCTGTTCCTGTCCATCTGAAGGTGATTCCAGGCTCCCTTGTTAGGCATATTACCTCTCTTATGGCATATGGTGTGCCTGTAGCACAAAGAGCCTTGACAATTATTCATTGTTAACATTAGAAACTCTATTAATATGAATCAAAGAATATTATGTACAATAATAGGCTATAAGCCATTTTTGTTAGACTAATATTAGCTACTACCCAACTCCCAAAACTGTTAATTTACATGCATCATTAAGTACAATAATAGAATATTGTGTGCATGTAGCACAAAGAGCCTTGACAATTATTCCCTATTTACATTTTTTTCATTGTTAACATTAGAAACTCTATTAATATGAATCAAAGGATATTTTGTACAATAATAGGCTATAAGCCATTTTTGTAGACTAATATTAGCTATTACCCAACTCCCAAAACTGTTAGTTTACATGCATCATGTGGTTACTCCCCAGTGCAAATGTTTCCTTTTCACCCCTTCTTTTTGCCAATAAAGCAGCCAAGATAATTGTTTATCTTTAGACCCTATAAAAAGTAGCACCCAACTCTCTTTCCAGATGTTTAATTTCCTGCATGGAATTCCATGTTGCAATGTTCCTTGACTTCTGTTTCATTTTTAGCCACCCAACTACTACCTTGAAGTCCCCTGACACTACTATACTCCCGAATTCCAAAGTTTTTCCCAGCCACAGTCCCTGCAAAACAGCTAACAGTTCAGCTCTTGTAGAATCTCCAATACTTACGAGTCTTATTTCTAGAATTGCCCCACATACCACATTTGTTCCTGAAAATTTCTCCTATACCAGAATTGCCATGATTCATGCATGTTACACCCATCAAAGTTTAGTTTGGCTTGATTCATTTCTGAATGAACCACATACTGCCACCCCATTCCAGTTGTGTGCTGGAAGAAAGTTGCCACAAAGGGTACATTGAGTGGTCATGGTTGAACGCTTTCCTTGAAAAACATAGGCTGTAATTCCCTATCGTAGTCTACACAACCTAATTTCTTTTATGTTTCCAATAATAAATATAAGCTAAATGCCTATTTTTGGGTGTTTTAAGCTAAATGTTCAATGTCATTCCTTTATTGGATGGTTGTAATTTATATGGACTTATGAGATTACATCAATATCTTACAATTGGAACACGTCTTTTTTCATCAACTACTCAGTACCTAGGCACCAACTAGTCATTACATCGGCTAGACAAACCAAAGAAACTAGTCATTACCTCACCATACTGATAACACTAGAACTGGGTTGAAGTGAAAAAAACCTGGAGAAAGAAGCACGATAGAAAGGTCCTGAGGAATTGAGGGTCCAAACACAAATCTGGTTTTGGTTATCAAGAAAAGAATTATCCAAAGAATCAATTAGGTATAAGGCTTGTGAATATTCAAAGTTCCTCAAGCCTGTCCTGAGCCTCATTTATCATGTTTTTTGTCCTCCTATACACTATTAATTCTATCAGATATAAAGGACAGCCCAGTGCACAAGGCTCCTGCCAATGCGGGGTCTGGGGAGAGACAGATGTATGCAGTCTTACCCCTGCACATACAGAGGCTGTTTCCAAGATTTGAACCCTGGTCACCCAGATTGAAATGGAGCAACCAAACCGTTGCTCCATTGTTTTGACTAGTCAATGTTAAGTAGCTTCCATCTCAGGTACAAGTTGCTTTGTATTCAATTCTCTTCAATTCGTTAATAGCAATGCATATATTTAAAATGTCAGCGTCAATGGAAATGTCAATCATCCAAATATAGGAAACATATTGGAAATATGGAGATGATGTAAAGAAGCATGGGTACCACGTTTAAAATTATTTGCTTGTTCTAAACCATTAAATGAAGCTATGAAACTAAGTAGACAAAATAATACATTGCAAAGTTGTCCCATAGACTTTAAGATTTAAAACCACATGATAGAGCAAGTTCAAACTTAACCCACAAGAGGTGCAAATGGTTCTAATAGGTCAAAATAATATTTCTATTACACAACTAAAAACTAAGATTTAATATTACATCCAAAGAGAATTAGAGCTGACTCAAAGCAGTCATCACCCCCATTAGGTGGGAGATGTGATTCAAACCAATAAAATTAGCAGAATAATTTAGATTAAAGCAAAAGAAAGTAAGGAAGAAGAAGGAAGATTGGAGAAGAAAGGAGAAAAGAAAAGAGGAGTTCGATAATCTCCTCTTTCCCCCACTAATCCTTTAATAGACTTGCTTAAGTTACATAATTTACAAGATTGCCCTTAAGTAGGCGTCCACATCAGCACTACCATACTTAGAAAACATAAACAAGAGCTAAAGGCCCATAAAGAAAAGGCCCAATAAGAAAAGATAACAAGAAAAAACTAATAAGAAAGACAGTAATGGGCTAGGGCCCATTCGGCCCAGTCTCTCTACAGTGGGCAATATATTGCTGCTCCACATATCCGCAATATTGTTGCTAATTTGTCATGTTATTAATACCATTTCATTTACCGTAATAGTTTTGATAGTTTTCACTAGGGATATGTCATTTCCACTAATATTTTTGCTGGTATGCATGGAAATGGAAATATATCATGGAAGTATTAGGAAATGTCAACATAAACCTTGCTTATATGTATACAGGTGTTTGTAGGGTATTCGAAGGAAAAGAAAGTGTTGTTAGAGCTGTTAATGGACCGTAAATGGGTGTTAGTGGGCCTGTTTATGTGTTTAATTCTGTTTATGCGTAATCAGGGGTATTCTTGTAATATCCCCTTTTTATTTGAACACCGTAATATATAAGCTAGTGGGGACTTTTGGCAAACTCTCCTCTTCTCTGCTCTTTTTTTTTCCTCTCTTCTATTCTAGATGGTATCAGAGCAAGTTTGACAGCAGATTGGTACTCAAGTGGACTTCTCTTCTTTCTTTTCTCGTTTTTTTCCTGGAAAGGACTGTAACACTTCAGAATTTCAGATTTGAGAAGGAACTGGTCGGGTAACAGTTTCTTTTCTATTTTTTCTCCCTTTCTGGTCGTGGGACCAAAAGGGTCATTGTTTGGGTGTATCCCTTGTATCTTGTGATGGAAGTTTGAAAGGAGAGGTGTCTCTCTGTGTTCTACATAGTTGTATGGTCTGGGGTCCTGTTGGCAGAGTGTAAACCAAGTTTCCTGGACCTCTTATATTCAGGTCTGTGTTGTTTACTCAGCTGTACTGTGTTTCTGTGTGCTGGATGTTCTTCACTTTGCTTGAAAGTTCAAGACTGTAGAAGTGATTGACCTGTGGAGTTCATCTCTTGTTTCTGATTTGGGGGTGTTCAAAAGTGCTCTACTGTGATTCCTACTTCTTGTGAAAGAAGTTTGGAGCCCTCTTGCTGATTACAGTGGACTGTTATTTGGAAAACATACCTGATTTATGTGGTTGTTCGTGTTGTTCCTTTCCTCCTGGTACAAATTACTTTAGGACTGTTAAATTTATTGTATAAACAATGTCAACTGATGATTCAGCCATATCTGAAGTCACTGAAGGTCAGAATATGGTCAGTCTAGGGTCTGAAAACTGGAGTTTCCCTATTTCTATTACAGTCCTTGATGGACTGAACTATTTGGAGTGGTCCAAAAGTGTTAAGCTGTATGTTGGGTCCACGGGAAAGCATGGCTACTTGTCTGGTGATATTCCTCAACCCAAAGAGGTGGCTCCAAGAAAATTACTTGATTATTCTTGGCTTGTAACTTCTATTCATCCAAATCTGAGGAAAAACTTTATGTGGGCTGAAACCGCAAAGGAGATTTGGGACCAGGCTAAGGCTACATTTTCTGAGCAAAGGCATTATGCTCGTATTTATCAGCTACAGGTTGAGTCTTCCAATTGTAAATAGAGGGAAAAAGTCTGTCAAGTTACTATTCATCTCTTACCTCCATGTGGAGGGAACTTGATCATTACCTAAGTGTTGACCGGAAGAATGAATCAGATGCAAGGGAATACAAAAGGCTTGTAAATCAGCAGCGAGTATTTGCATTCCTTGTGGGTCTTAACCCCAGTTATGAGACCATTCGGGTTCAGATTTTAGGGAGCAAGGAATTCCCATCACTTTAGGAAGTGTATTCATTGGTTCATTCTGAAGAGAGTAGGAGGATAGCCATGAATCCTCCAAAGGGGGAGCAGCAAGTTGTGCTCCTTGCCAAGGGAAGTGGTGCAAATACGAAGGGTGGTGTTGGGATGAAGAAGACTGACAAAGTTGATAAAGTTAAGATGTACGCATTGTGGCAGACCCATACACACTAAAGTAACATGTTGAGATCTTGTTGTGAAGCTGAAGAATTTTCGTTCCTTCCAGAAGAAGCAACCAATAATATTCTGGGAAGAGTTCTAACTCAGCTAATGATGTTTGTGGTAGTTCATCTCAAGAGGGTGTCTCAACAGGTTATAACCCTGAGGGGTAACTGAATACCTTATATGATCAGTTGGAAGAATATGGTAGGACTCTCTATCAACTTGAGGAGACTCTATCACTCCTACCTCACATGTGTCCACTATAGGTAACCAGGCCTCTGCATTTCATGTGTCTACTTCATCCTCCACCCCTTGGATCATTGATTCTAGGGCAACCAACCATACGACTGGTAAGCCCATTTTGTTTTCAGCATATCGTTTACTTTTTGGTAGGGACAAAGTTAGGCTGGCTGACAGTTCACATACCACATTCCTGACCATAGCATAGTGCCCTTACAGAATGAGGTTATTCTTCATTCAATATATCATGTTCCCAAATTTTCTACCAATCTTTTGTCTATTAGTTGCATTACTCGATCCTTGAATTGTAGTGTAACCTTCTTTTGTGATTTCTCTGTTTTCTAGGATGTGACTTGTGGGAGTACAATTGGCAAGGGTCGTGTGGTTAATGGTCTCTCTATACATTCTGGAGGAGATTGCAACTCCAGAGTCGAGCAATACAATAAGTTTCCTGAGCCAGTCTGAGAGTCTTTGTAAGAATGCCCAAATTTTACTGTGTCACTACCGTTTGGGTCATTTGCCTTTTCCATCTTTGAGAGTCTTGTTTCCAACCTTATTTAAGTTAGTGTTTGAGTCTTCACTTCAGTGTCCAACATGTCCTTTAAGCTAACATTGTAGAACAAGTTTTCCTTCAGAAAATAAAATTGTTGAATTTCCATTTCAAGTTGTTAATTCTGATGTGTAGAGCCCTACTACTATTGTTGCAGAAGGGGGTTATAGATGCTTCATTAATTTCATTGTTGACTTCTCAAGATACACTTGGATTTATTTACTTTGTTCACAAGATGAAGTGCCAAAAATAATGCAAGACTTTTAGAAAACGGTATTCACAGTTTCATGTGGAAGTGCAAAAATTTCATTCTAACAATGCTTGAGAATACTTTAGAGATTATCAAAATCATTTTTTTCCCCAGCATGGTACCATTCACATAAGCACCTACCCTAGGACCCCATAACAGAATGGTATTGTTGAGAGAAAGAATAGGCATATCCTTGAAGTGGCCCGAAGTTTGATGTTGCATATGCATGTACCTAAGAGGTTCCAGGCTGATGCTATTTTGACAGTTGCATTTATTATCAATTGTATGCCTACTCGTGTTCTCAAGTTCAAGGCCCCACACCAGGCTGAAGCAATCTCCAAGGGCTTGGTTCGGAGGATTTAATAATGCAGACAAGAAGGTTGATTTTAGACAGTATCAGAGTGATCATACTCTCTGTTAAGAGGGAAGGGATTTATGTGGCCATTCTTATAGTTTATGTGGATAACATTGTCATTATGGGAAATTGGGAGTCAGAGATACAAACGGTAAAGAGATCTTGGGGGGCTCAATTTGATATCAAAGATCTAGGCTCTTTAAAGTACGTTCTCAGAATTAAAGTTGCGAGATCAGACAAAGGTATCTTTAGTATGCTTGTAAGGGATTCAGGGGAAGTACATCCTAGATCTTCTGTAGGACACTGATAAGCTTGGAGTCAAGCTTGTAGATACTCTCCAATTGATAGTAACCACAAACTTGGTGGAGAAGGTGGCGAGCCTCTCTCTGATGTAAGGCAGTTCCAGAGACTTATTGGGAGATTGTTCTACTTATCTATGACTAGACCCAACATTGCTTATGCTGTTCGAGTGTTGAGCCAGTATATGCATACCCCTAGGTCTACTCACCTTGCTGCGGCAAAGCAGGTTTTGAAGTACTTAAAAAATTCCCTGGTAAAGGTATCCTTTTTTCCAAGCATGATCACTTGAAAGTAGAAGTTTTCACTGGTGCAGATTGTGCCAGCTCAGTTGATGATAGGTCTACTATAGGTTATTGTACCTTCATTGGAGGAAATTTGGTAACCCTGAGAAGAAAGAAACAAACAATGGTTGCTAGGTCAAGTATAGAAGCAGAATATAGGGTCATGGCACATGGAGTTGGAGAAATTTTGTGGTTAAAGAATATGTTAAAGGAGTTGGGAGTTGAAGTTCACAGCCCAATGTCATTGTATTGTGACAATAAGGAAGCAATAAATATTGTCCACAATCCTGTGATGCATGAAAGAACAAAGCATATTGAAGACAACAAGTATTTCATTCGTGAGAAACTCAAAGCTGGTGAAGTCTGTATTCCTTATGTAAACTCTATGGATCAATTGGGTAGCATCTTCACTTAGAGTGTTTCTAGTACCCGTCATTTGGATATTTGTACCAAGTTGGGAATGATAGATATATTCAGCCCATATTCAGCCCAACTTGAGGGGAAGAGTGGTTAGAGCTGTTAATGGACCATAAATGGGCTGTTAGTGGACCTGTTTGTGTTTATTTCTGTTTATGTGCAATCAGGGATATTCTTGTAATATCCCCTTTTTATTTGAACACCTTAATATATAAGCTACTGGGGTGCCGCCCCCTACACACTTTTGGCAAACTCTCCTCTTCTTCTTCCATTCCAGAGAAAGGTTTTCATTTTTTATTTTTTTCTTGTTTCAAGTGAGGGGTAGATGAAACATGAATCTGTATGCTGAAGGGATAAATTTTAAATTAAAAAGAAATGCATTCCTTCCTGCATACTGTTCATGGTATTTTGGTAGGGTCTAATGAAATTCTTAGCTTATTACCAACTTTTGAATCCATGAAGCCTTGTTTCCTGCTGCACACCTGTTGAATCAATTCTTGTATATGTTTAACTAGTTTTTAACTAAATTTTCATACATTTGCAATTTATAAGATTGATGTAACACATCTTCTGAGATGTTATGAGATAATAATTCCCATGGATCTGAACTCTGGTATTAGAAATCAGGATGCATTCACTTCCTGAAATCCAAGACATGGATAGTCATACGGATGATAATCTAACCCAACATCATGATACAAGTAGCTTACTTTTAGTCTTTCAAGTAGTATTTCTTTGCAATTATGTCATGTCAGATTAAAAAAAAAAAAAAAAAGCAGTTTTAGGAATTAACTTTAGAACTATCCGTTCAGCCATAAATTACAATAATAATATTCTTTTGATTCCGGCAGACAGCCATGAAATGCTGATCCAATATATAGGTGCACTTGGAGGTTGAGCATTATTTAGATCCATTAAAGGTTGAGCATTATTCAGAACCCTGACCAGAAGTCAACTTGGCAATTGGGGAAAAAACTATTAAATTGTAGCTTTCTCAAAGGTTGCAGTTCAATTTAAATTTTCATATAACCATAGTTTGTGATACAACTGAAATTGTTGACTTCCCTCCAGCCTAGCTACCTTGTCCAATCCAGTGTTTTAATCCCTGGGCACATTAAAAAAAAAGGCCATCGCCCAACTATCTGGGGTCTTAGAAGGGGTAGGCTGGATACAGTCCTAACCTTTCCAAAACCTTATTCTCATGCAGTCATGCTTGCCTGCCCGAGCTACCAGCATAATTCTTTGGATTCAAAAATGAGCCAATGAGCCATATGTTTCTACATTATACATGCAAGGAAAACAATAGTTTATCCTTTATGTACTGATTCTGAATAGACATTATTCTGCATGTATTTAATCCATGAGTTGTGTTCTAATAGTCGTTGCTTAGATGATATTTGATTGCTTGTACTAATTGTTGACAACTGTCCCAGGTGTTTGTTCTTCTCCTAACAATGGATAGACGAAGGATTTGTCCCATATAATCATATCGAAATCCAGGAGTAAATGAGTAATACTGGGCCTTCCCTGGAATTTTGTGGTGTCGCTGGGATGTTTTCATGTTAACCTAGCCATACACGATTTATGATAATTGGACCTCAAGATCTCATTTTGTTTGCTTCTTCAAATTTTAGCTCTAGTTTGAAATAGAGTGGTCATGTAGATCGAGTTGAATACATATTCTATTTCACTTTTTTTCCCTCTCCTACTTTCTTTGTGGTCCCAACCCTCAATATATCGTTGACAGTAATTGTATCATGAGCAATTAGTTTGATGAAAGTTTGTCGTTTCCAAATTGGAAGTATGGTTTACCAGTACCAAACCATTAATATCTTTTTTTGGTACATAATATCTTAAATTTTTACTTTTATTATATTTTTAGCTAGGAATCATGGATTTTTCATTCTATACAGATAACTGATCAACCCATGATGTATTTAGGCAAGAGATTCAGGACTCAGCAACCATGAAACACTGGTGCTTTTGTTCGATACAGGTGCATTAAAGGTTGGCTTGTAATAGACAGATATCAAATGTTGGTACTTTTAATGATATCCATGCTTGCAGCTTTCAAATGTTGACTTTTTTTTTTTTAATTTTTTGTTTTTTTGCTAGCCAACTGAAGACATATCCGGAGAAGGCAGGGTAAGTACTCTGCTTATGATGTTAACATGCAGTCAACTTCTCGTGCGAGGGTTCTTGGGGTGTGGAGGGATTGAATTGTAGACAGAGGGAAGGGAGACGTGGATTTGTGCACACTTCCTTTTTCAGTTCTCTCTAATATCTTGATAAAAATTATTAAAGGTTTTTTTTTATGATGCTGGTTGATTGGTTAGGGCCCATTTGATTTATAGGAACATGGGTTTGGAACTGGAATTGGAATCATCCATTTTAATTTCAACCATTTGGTTGGGCAGAATTGGAATCTCATTCCCATTCCTGATGAAATGGCAATTCCTTCATTTAAGGAAATGGTCATTCCCTCCCCCTCCTTTGGGAATGAATCCACTACAGTTTATTCTGATTCTGATTCCAATTCCCTACCATTTCAATTCCGATTTCGAGCGCAAACCAAAGGGACCCTTTCAGTATCATGTCTTTCCAGTAGCAAGCTTGAACCATATTTATGTATTAGTTGTTGTGGATAGGACTCCTTCCCAGACCCAAATCGGAGAGCTATTTGCGTGTTAAAAAAAAAAAAAAAATAGTAAGAGCTTGTCTGCTACAACTTTCAAGAGGAACATGGAACCTGTTGTCCAACCTTGAGGGGGTGTCATTTTGTCAGCAAAACATAACGGTTTTGCTGATGTGGCATTTTATGTTCAAAAACGAAATCGTACACATTGGTGAATAACTAAATACTCCTAAAATTGTCTACCAAATAGGCTGCCAATTGAAGATATAGGAAACTTTACAATTTTAATAAAATTGCAAACTAGGGACCAAAGAAATTTCTAATGGGCATAGGTGCATTAGGCCGTGATGAAATCCAACTCTCGGTTCAAGTCCGATTTGAATAATGGAAAGCCAGACCCCATCCAACACAAGTCAGGCCTTATAAAATGTTACCAAAATTTTGGTTTGTTTGAGTTGTTCTATTTCTCAAACTCTTAAGCATATCTATATATCATCAGCAAAAGGAATTATTGCAAAAGAAACAATCAAATTGTAACGATCTGGGTTTAGAGCTACACTCTTTATCAAAGGATAGGACAAGCAGTTTCAAAGGGTCTTGAGAGGTGAGACCAATGAAGTCTTAACTACATAATATACCATAATTTCTGGGATTGACTGTGCTGAGTGCGCCTGGGATTTGCTTGGCCCAAGACGGTCCCACATTGGGGGCAGGCTTGATGTGAACCCAGGCCAGGCTGAGACTTGAAAATTCTGTCTAGGCCCCGAGTTTTTCTGTACAGTTCAGGCCAGGCAATGTGGGCCTGCCAGAAATGATCAGTCCTAATCCAACCTGTTGTCATCAATGTTTTAAAAAATGACTCGAAATCAGAACCATTTTGGTCACCTGTTTTCAGGTTGACAGTTCGACCCCCTGGTTTGAACGGACGGCTAGTTCTGACAAAAAATTAAAATAATTAAAATAAAAAAAAAAAAACGTCAAAACCATTCAATAGATCGACAGTTCAACCACCCAATTCAATGGGTCATTGACCGATTCAACGGTTTTTGGTCAGGGACTGGGTTTGGGATAAAACTGAATCAATTGCCTAGAAGGTTTCCAGGCCAAACAGTCTGACCGTCCGAGTCAATGGCAGTTCAAAAACCATGGTTGTCATTCATATTTTAAACCCTAACAACCTGACCAATGCAACCTGGCTAATCTGACCCAAAGTTGCATCCCTGTCAACTGTTTACAAACCTAACGTCCAGCACTCTCAGAACTGACCACTCATAGACTTAAACTCGTTTCTCACGTTTCATCATCATTACCTGCAGCATGAAGAATTTTACGAGTAGCATAAAATTGTTTATTATCATTTCTTGGTTGGCTAAATGCACAAAAAAGGTACAGAACATATTGCGGATGCCTGGCTGAACAAGTCACCAATGTAGATGTCCCCCATGATGAACGGTTCATAATTGCCACATCTATTATTGAACAGAATTTATAATTCGTGCACTTGATGACAATTTCACCGTCCAAATAAAAGAACAAAACATTTGATTTCATACTTGGTACAGGAAATGGAATTTGGATCACCGTGGAATTCATGGCTAAAACAGAGCCTCATCTCTCTTCCAACTAAATTCCATTTAATTTAAGATGGCATTAGGTTGTGTGGTAAAACCACGATATGGTGGGTTTCAAATCACCCCACACTTCATGGTGACAATCCAGCAGGCATTAATGTTGTGAATATTCCAAGGATTTTAAAATTGAATCAGACAACAAACCAGTCAGGGATCTGGTTTCCGAATTGAACTGTCCGACTGTTCGAACCGAACGAACAGCCCATTCTGACATTGGCAATTTTTTTTTCATCTGTTAGTTCTTCCCTTGATTAACTAACCAGTTTGTTGACCTTGAACAAGGGCTCTATAATCTCTGAAATCTTGGTCCTAACCGGTTGCTTATTGCTCCTTTCCAAAGAGGTCATTTTCGACTACGTTTTAGATTTAAGAATGACTTTGTTCATGTTAGAGATAATGGTCCATGGCAACTCAACGGCCAATGGATTATTCTCAAGCCACGGATACCTAGTAACCCCCAGTATGAGTGGAACCTTCATGAGATTGAACTTTGGGTCCAATTGCATGATTTACCCTCTGAAATTTTGATTGAGGATATTGGTCGACCTATTTTTCAACGAATTGGACCTGTGCACTCTTTCTCGGTGGTCCAAAACTATATTAGAGCCAAGGTTTTAATTTCTATGGAAGATCCCTTGAAATTGGGTTGTTTTTTCAGTGCTTATAACTAGGTTACATTCCATTATGAGGACTTGCCTTGGGTTTGTTACCTTTGTGGTTGACTTGGCCATCTGTTTCGTCGTTGTTCGTGGCCCTTGCCTCATTATATTAGGAGAATACGGTTGTTGCAATGAGTTAGTTGCGATGAGATTTGTTGCACTCTGTTACGATGAAGGATCTGGAATGCCACATCAGATTCCTTGAAATAAGTGTATATATATGTGAGAGGTTTAATGCAATATTATCATTATTCTTTTGCCATTTTCTCTACTGCCAATTTACATGGTATCATAGCTCTAGGTTCCCACTAAACCCTCTGATTCTTGACTCGAGTTCTCTTCCTAGTTCTTGAGTCGTATTTTCTTTTGTCAATAGTAAGAATGGCCATGAATGGAAGTGGAAATACTGTGTTCACCATCATTCATCTGATCCCCTCTTTTGTTGATCAAAATTCACCGTTCTATCTTTATCCTTCTAACAACCCTGGTACAATGCTTGTTTCTTATTTGTTGAATGGAGATAATTATACGACTTGAAAAAGAGCCATGATTAATGCTCTCAGCGTCAAGAACAAGATTGGTTTCATGAGTGGAATGATTTAGAAGCCAGATCCGGGGAAGCAGGCAAAGTTGCTCTCCTAGTTGAAGTGTAATTTCATGGTGGTGTCATGGATCTTCAATGCTTTAGCTAAAGACGTCCATGCATAGTCTATGCTGAAAACACCCAAGAAATGTGGAAAGATTTGGAGAGGTTTTCACAAGGAAATGCATCAAGAATTTTCCATTTCAAGCGAGAACTCATGTTACTCAAGCAAGAAAATCTTCATGTCTCTGTTTAATTCTCAAAACTCAAGGCAATTTGAGATGAATTGTCAGCCTACATTGTTGGACCATCGTGTACTTGTGGACTGTGCAATTGCGGAGTTCAGAAAAGATTTTATTACAGAACAGGAAAGAGATAAAGTGTATCAATTCTTGCTCGGCCTGAATGAGAAATTTAACAACATCAGATCGAGCATTTTAAGCATGTACCCTCTATCAAGCATTAGTAGGATTTATGCACTCGTATCACAAGAGGAAAAACATCAATCACTAAATTCTCAACATGGTCTGACTATCAAGTCGTCGCTTTTCATGTGGCTGGCCCAAGATTCAACTCGAAGGGAGGAAAAGAAAGGTCCAAGATTCACTGTGATCACTACAAGAAACAAGGCCACAGTAACGATTACTGCTTTGAATTGTTTGGGTATCCACAGAATTGGGAAAATCGATCAAATTCCTCATCCAAGAACGGCACTGGTAATCAAGAAAAATCTGCTACTAGCACAAGCTCGGTCCAAGCAACTTCTCCAATTTCCAGCTTATCCAATGAGCAATATCAACAGTTATTAAGCACCATCAACAGTCTGTCTGATCTACTAAATAATGATAAACATACTTTCTCAGCCAACTTTGTAGCTAAAGTCACTACTTCTTCTTGGCTTTTGGATAGTGGGGCCCAAATCACATGGTTCCTGCTAACTCTAAATTTGCTTCTACATCTATTACATTGGCATTAGCACTGAAACCGGTTCAATTGCCAAATGGAACATTGTTACCGGTTTAATCACAAAGGGACATAGCATTGTCTTCGGATCTGGTATTAAAGGATGTATTGTTCATTCCGGGGTTTCGATGTAATCTTATATCTGTTGGTAAACTTACCAAAGACCTAAATTGTCATGTGTTGTTCTTTCCTGCTTTCTATGCTCTTTATGACCTGACATCCAAGAAGATGATTGGTGTGGGCCTAATGCATGATCGATTGTATCACTTCGCTTCCATTCCGCCATCATTCTCTTTGCACAATACCCGTACACATGATCCATGTATGTGGCATTCAAGGTTGGGCCATGCTTCT